CGGACTCTCCATCCAGATTCACAGTAGTATGACATGTTTCATCTAGTACTATATTCTTATATTTTTATATGGAGGGAATATCAAGTTATGTATGTTTTAGAAAATTCAGACAAGTATATTTTTTCTTTTTTCCAACTTTCTTTCTTTTTTTTTCTTTCTTTTTGTGTGGAGACAAACCAAATATGTACTGGAATTTACTTTATGGATCGGGAGAGAATGTCAAACTGAAAAAAAGCTATGAATAAACCGCGAGCGTCGACGACGATGCCACCAGAGAGAGAGAGATGAAAAAAAAAAGTGAATAAAGAAAAAGAAACAAGGAGAGGAAAAGAAAGAAATGGGTGATGAGTGGCTCCAATGATTGGAAGCAAAGCAGGTGTGCGTTGTCGGGGGAAGGCGAGGCAGGGGAGGCCCACGTGGAAGCCTGCCGCGTCCGACGTGGCCCCTCCCGCCCACGTGAGTAGGTGGGCCCTCCCACCCCGGTTTCCCCTCCTGCTTTCCCGCCTCGGCCCACGTGACCCCTGGGCCCACTAGCCCACTACTACCGGCTGCTGCTCCCGGCTCGGCTCGGCTTAAAATCGAGCTTGGCTTGTCGAGTTCCAAAAAAAAATCAACTTAAAAGGAAATGTGTCCTCTCCTAAGTTTATGTATGTGGATATATGAGGTGTCCATGTACATTGATCTAGGAGGGGTCACATCATCCCCTCTTAGGCCGAGTTTAGATCCAAAGTTTTTCTTTAAACTTCTAACTTTTCTATCACATCAAAACTTTTTGACACATAAATTTTCAACTTTTCCGTCACATCGTTCCAATTTTAACTAAACTTCTAATTTTAGCGCGAACTAAATACACCATTGATTCTTTTTGGGAGTGGAGGATGTAATCGGATTGGCGTGGGGGCAATGCAGTGATGGGCATGATTGGGGTGATGATGGCGGCGGCGGCAGGGAGAGGGGAGGAGATGATGGTTGGGTGGAAGGGGACAGCGTGGCCGCACGCCTCGCGTCGGCGACCGGCAGCACGCACCATGGTCCATGGGCCACGTACGACCCAACTGTAGTGCATCGCCGCCGCGCCGGATTGTGCCACGTCGTCGATCTTGCTCTCGTTCATCAGCGACTAGTTCATGTCTTTTGTTGAAATGCGTAAATTTCACTATAAGAAATATAAAAAGTGGCTGCTGAGAATGGTTTCTGATCCAGGTTTATGTTTTTAATGGAAACCATGTTCAATCTGGGTGCCCACCGTAACTGCCGTGGCGGATTTATGCCACGCCTTGCTCGTAGAATCTAGGCATACCACATACTATTGATACTAAGGTCGTGTTATTTCCCCTTTTTTTTCCCGTTCGTACCTTTTCAAACGGCTAAACAGTGGAGTATGACTTTTGCAAAAGTTTTTTATATACAAAAGTTACTTTAAAAAATTATATTAATCCATTTATCAAGTCTTTAAGCTAATACTTAATTAGTCACGTATTAATGGGTAACACCGGAAACCACGGGGAACTCCACCTTCCAAACTCAGCCTAAGTTTAGACGCAAACGCTTGTATAAACACACTTATACTCACTCCTGTAAACAAATGCATGCGTGTACATCTATCTCTATGAGTATCTCTCAAGATAGAATCTGCATGTTATAAGAGTTATGAAGTCACAACAGATTTATACCGACATTGTTAAAAGGATAATTAGCTGTAAATACGAGCATCCATATAACTGATCTCATGATTTCGTTGGAACACATGTTTTTGTACGTACCCCTCCGTCAAAAAAATTTAATCCTAGCTATGAACCTGGACATATACGTATCCAGGTTCGTAGCCAGTTTTTGGACATAGTAGTAAGCAATAGGAATCGGTTTAATCGATAATGGACTTGATCGATACAATTAGCTCTATTGTCGTATATATGGCTGGCTGCTGCAATACACGGTTGTTGCCGACACTCTCGACTATTAATTACCAGGTTTGTTATCGCATTCGAGGATGTGCACATGTTGTGTTATTAGTGATGGATTGCTTCAATGTGGCTTACTTATTTCACTCTCATCTTTTCTTAGGAATATGCGGAAGATTTGTAAGCCTTTTTTTTTTTTGAGGTTGCAACCAATTGTCCATACTTTCGGTACGGACTACGGAGACTATTCCACTGATAGGAGTACATCTGTTATCTTTCTCTTTTTCTCTTTTTCTTTGTGGCATCTGTGTCACATCTTGGGCTATATCTTCATAAAAGAAAATAGGCACCCCAAAAGTCAACAGCTTAAGATGGAGCAATGTACTACTGCTTATACTACCTCCGTCCCAAAATAAGTGCAGTCGTAGATATCCGTGCCCAACGTTTGATCATCCGTCTTATTTGAAAAATTTGTGAAAAATTTAAAAATATTTAGTCACACATAAAGTACTATTCATAATTTATCATCTAATAGCAATAAAAATACTAATCATAAAAAATTTTCAAATAAGACGAACGATCAAACGTTGAACATGAATAATGCAAAACTACACTTATTTTGGGATGGAGGGAGTACCATTTTAAGCTGTCTAGTTGCTTCGTCCGTCCTTAAAGAGATATAGGTCCTGCTTGGGGAGCTAAGGGTGTGGTTGGTTGCCTGGCTCGTCCCTGGCTCGCATCTCGGATGCAACTTGTAGACTGTTTGGTTGACTGCACGTGTCCCACAGCCAGGCCGAATAGATGCAAAAAGTCTCTCGCAGCCAGGCTGAGCAGGAACGACCGAATCGAGCTTCGCTGCTCATCCTGGCTCCACGCATGCAGCGGCGCCGCACCCGCGCATGCAAGCGCTGCACCCGCGCGTGCAGGGAGAGCCGGAGAAACGATGGGGTCCCCGACACCACCCTACCTTCTTCCTCATTTCTTCTATCTTCTCTTCTCTTCGCTATCGCCGGTCATGGCCACTAGCGGCGACCATCTCCATCTTCGCCGGCCAGATCAGGCTAGCTGCAAGTCCTGCTCCTCCCTCTCTTCTTCAGCAAGGGCTCACCAAGAGCTCTCCGCCGGCGGATCCGGAGGGCATGAGCTCGCCACTGCCAGATCTACCTGCACGGAGATGTCGAAGTATGAGCTTGGCTTAAGCTCGTCGTCGTCGCCAGCGGCACCACTTTCCTCGCCGGCTTGAGCTCGTCGCTGCGCGGACACCCTCGCCGCCACGGACAGCTACCTCAAATCCATCTCCTACTCACCTTTTTTTTTCGCCAGATTCAGAGGTTAGAAGCTCGGGCCTGCCAGATCCGAGTAACCACAACACCCTCCCGGCCGCTGGACCCGCTGCACCGACGGCGGCGAACATGCCTAGCTGGGTGGCACGAGCGGCTAGGTACCGGTGGCGGCAAGTTCCTCTGCGAGCTCTGTTCTCCTTTTTTTTTCTTTCTTTTTTCCACCGAATGTCATTAACCACTGATAAATATGGTTTATGTACTGCTGTGCAACTGTATATGCTCATCCGATACTGTTTTCAATTATTGTTGTCAGGAGCTCCGAAATCAATGCTTTGTATATTTTGCATGTACTATTAAATCTGATATATATACCATAAATAAATACGCTTTTTATTTCGTAGATGGTAAGAATTTTCAATATTAATTCTAAGTGAGGTAATCTCTCCTTCAAAGAAAGAAAATACTTATACCTACTATCCATACAACCAACCAAACAAAGTCTCTTTCAAGCCGTATCTTTGGTGCAAGCAGCCAAGCAGAATCTCACGCTAACCTGGCTAAACCAATACAACCAACCAAACGGTTGCATATGTATCTACCTAGCCAGGCCAAACTCAGCCTTGATGGAAGAGATGGGCCAAGCTAAAACAATGCAAGCAACCAAACACACCCTGATTCTGAGAAGCCAACTTCTGAGAATCTGAAAAAGATATGTTTTCCAGTTTTTGACTTCTAGTTTACAACTACAGCTTTAGAATCTAGAAAAAACTTAGACTGTTTGGGGAGCTTCTGATTTCTAAGAGAAGCTGCAACAGTTAGAAACTCCCCTAAACTGGTCCATAGTTTTCAGTGGTCAAAAGTGAGATTATACATGAGGTTAAACAAATAATATACTATTCATTAATACTTGGAGAGAACAAGGAGAGGAGAAAACTAGGGGAATGAGAGAGTATTATTAGTTCGATGGTTAAAAAAATAAATAAAAAGATGAAATAGTAAATAGTATTAAGGAAGAAAAATATTTTTTGTGAGCTAAAATTTTAAACTATAATTAGATTTTCTTTTGGACAAGGAGATTAGAGATTAATGTTTGGGAAAGACTCTGCTGGTATCTCTCATTTACGGAGGAATTGAGGGTGATTGGATAAGATAAAAAGAAAGATAATCAAATAGACAAATAATACTACTCTCTATTTAAGATATAATAGTACATAGAAAAATAGGGTTAGGGGAGTATAAAAAAATCTTAACATTTGTGAATAAACATAACACACACTAGGAAAAATGTTTTACTATATTAGTAGACAAAGTGGATAAGCCTCAGGAGATATACTTGATAGTCCAGTGATAAAAAGACTGTGGTTTCAACCTTAAGAATCCTCAACACGATTATAATTTCTTTTTAAAAAATATTTGAAGGGGCGTTTCTCTCTATATATTTTTTTTATTTTTTAGCGTAAAGCCGTAAAACCTCAGGCTGCGAGCTATGGGCAGGCTCAACTGAAGGCATGGCCAGGAACCAGGGTCAAAGGAGCAACAAGTCATGTCCGGTGGGCCCCACCCGGCCCCAACCCCGGGGGACAAGTCAATGAGTGCCCCCGCTCCCTCCGAACAGGAAAAGCTGCTCATCATTTGCGCTGCGACGCTGACGCGTGCGCCCATTCCACGCAAAAGAATACTCGCAGCCCATGCATGCACAATACTACTACTACTAGTATTTTCTTTGACTTTTCCTGCACCCCACAAAATATCGCTTTTGATCTAATCTCCTCCTTAATTACCCCCTCTAATCAAGCTCCCCTGTCTCCCCCACGCTTTAAAAGCTTCCTCCTCCTCCTCGCCAACCACCACCCTCAGTCCCTCACCTCCATTTCCATCAAGCCCAAGAACGAACTCACCACGCTAGTGTTGAGAAGTGGAGAGAGTTGAGAGGAATCAATGGAGATGATGGTTCATGGGAGGAGAGACGAGCAGTATGGCGGGCTCAGGCTCGGGCTTGGGCTTGGGCTCAGCCTCGGCGTCGCCGGTGGTGCAGCCGACGACGAGCAGCCGCCGCCGCGCCGTGGTGCCGCCCCGCCGCCGCAGCAGCAGCTGTGCGGCTGGAACGGCGGCGGTCTCTTCTCCTCGTCTTCCTCCGGTGAGTATAGATGGACGGACTTACGTCGAAGTCGTGCGTGCATGCATGGATGCATGGATCGATCTTACGAAGGTTAGTTTGCGTGCAGATCATCGGGGGAGGTCGGCGATGATGGCGTGCCACGACGTCATCGAGATGCCGTTCCTGCGGGGGATCGACGTGAACCGTGCGCCGGCGGCAGAGACGACCACGACGACGGCGAGGGGGCCCAGCTGCAGCGAGGAAGACGAGGAGCCCGGCGCGTCCTCCCCCAACAGCACGCTCTCCAGCCTCAGCGGCAAGCGCGGCGCACCATCTGCCGCCACCGCCGCCGCCGCCGCCGCCAGCGACGACGAGGACTCCGGCGGCGGATCCCGCAAGAAGCTCCGCCTCTCCAAGGACCAAGCCGCCGTCCTCGAGGACACCTTCAAAGAGCACAACACCCTCAATCCCGTAAGCAAAACAATCAATCAATCAAACTAATTACCAATCCACCATGAAATCGATCAAGAACAATCCGATTGACTTGTTCTTGCTGGATTGATCAGAAGCAGAAGGCGGCGCTGGCGAGGCAGCTGAATCTGAAGCCGCGGCAGGTGGAGGTGTGGTTCCAGAACAGGAGGGCGAGGACGAAGCTGAAGCAGACGGAGGTGGACTGCGAGCTGCTCAAGCGCTGCTGCGAGACGCTCACCGACGAGAACCGCCGCCTCCACCGCGAGCTCCAGGAGCTCCGCGCCCTCAAGCTCGCCACCGCCGCCGCCGCGCCGCACCACCTCTACGGCGCCCGCGTCCCGCCGCCCACCACCCTCACCATGTGCCCCTCCTGCGAGCGCGTCGCCTCCGCAGCCACCACCACCCGCAACAACTCCGGCGCCGCCCCCGCGCGGCCGGTGCCCACCCGCCCGTGGCCGCCGGCGGCGGCGCAGAGGTCGTCGGCGTAGAGACCCCACTACTGATTAATTAGTTAATTAGAGATGAGTAGTGGCTTTTTCTTAATTAGCAGGGTATTAATTAATTACTTAATTAGGGTTGGACCCCTGTAGTTTTCTTGTTTATACTACGTGTATAATTTAGCTCTGGTTTTGAACTTTTTAATTAGTTTCATAATCTTTTTTTTTCCTATCTCTCACTTCACCCTGTTTGTTGTTTACTCAGCAAAGAATATGGTGTCTTTGTATAAAGTGATGCATGAAATGGATCATAAAAGTTTTCAATATTAATTCCTTCATATCTGTAGTGTTCTTGGACTACTAATTACTGCCAAAAGAATGATATGATTACTACTGTATTGATGCTTACTATCCCTCTTGTGGCACTTGAGATCTCAGGATAACGATGGCTGATTTTCCTTGCTTTGTTTTGTTAATCTCCTCATATGTATAAGACCAGAGTAATTAATTAATTAATTAACAGGGGTCGAACTGTCAACGGTGCAATTATTAACATCTCCGAGTGCAGGCATCAGTGAGGATGAATTCCAAAGAGGAAATCTTCTCCTTTTCTTTCCATTCCCTGTGATCTTATCTTTGAAGCATTCTAAGCTTCCTGACAGGAACATCTAGCTAAGCTATAGCTAACTTCAGAGATGCAAAACTTGCAAGAAACAAAAGGGGACCAGATCAAGAAACTGAAGCTGAATCTGAAGCAACAATAACAACAGTCTCTGCAAATCAATTAATCAGTCTCTGAACATGTGTGTCGCTGTTAAACAGGCAGTCAATTAATCAGTCAGAAGGTTTAGTGGTAGCTGCCGTCTGAACCGGGCAAGAAAAGATGAGCAGAATTTGACCTCTTCCAACACACAATCTGCAGCAACTTTTGGCTCATATGTTCTCTGGCCATCTTGGCGAAGCTACTACTAGTAGTACGGTGATTGCAGGGGAAATATCTCATCAAATCTGGATGAAAGCTACTGAAGATGAGATCATTGGAACAAGACGAAGTTTCCTGGACCTTACTGAACTTGCGCCAGACAGATCATACCAATCCAGTATCACTGGAATAAGGCCCTATATATTCTAAACATGTTTTTGCACGGATTATTGAGACGGATTTTGTTTACTTTGATGATAAATCAATATTTTGAGAAATAAACTTCAGTGATTTATAAATAGCTTAAAACAAGTGATCTAAATAATGCAGTAGAAGATCTTTTTTATGAGAAATTGTATAGACAAAAGATAAGCTGAAAATAGCATGCCCTAATACTTGGGATTAACATAGAAAAGCAAGCAATGGCTTAATTAGTAGTACTCGTAGATTATGTGTGAGTTGTCGCTACTATTAGTTAAGTAATCCATAGCTTAATTAGTAGTAGGTGCAGGTGTGCACGCATGATTTGGTCTGGTGATGCAATGCAATCTTGGTTAGATTTGCGCCTAACATAATCAGGATCATTAGCCTCCCCAGCCAGCATGCCATGTGCAGGATGCCACTAAACTACTAAAAATCATTTGGCATCATCATCATCCAACAGAGGCATAATGCGTGCGAGGTGATGCATCATTGTTTAACCAAAGTGATTAATTATCTCATTAGGTGTACTACTCTTGTGTGCAGGGCTTAGATGTGGAGGGATCACGAAGCAAACAGGTCCCACGCGGAGCCCCTCAGCTTAAATCCGGGAGCAAAAGCTGCAGAGATGAGAAGAAAATTTGCTAATTCATGGGACACCTTTGCTCCCTGCTTTTGCTAACACCTAGTACAGTATACTATACCCCTCTTTTGCTGAACCTTGCTTTGCTTGATGAAGTTTTCAAAGCTGGTAATCAATGATGATGCCTGTCAGTTTACAATACTTTAATTGTACACTAATTGTGTTTTGTGCAGTTGTGGACTTGTGGTGTGCAAATGCAAAGTTGCTTGGTGATCAATGATTGTGCTAGTATTGCCTGCACAAAGTCCCTGATTAGAAAGGCTGAAATGTTGTGCTTACTAAGTAGTGTTCATTACTGGGGCCAATGCTACTGTCTTTTCAATTCTTTTTTCTCTCTCTTTTCTTTTTCACATGCTTTCCTGGAGCAGAGTGTAGTTAGTCAGAGCAGAGAAAGCGAGGTTAATACGAGTTTATTAGCAGGATTAGTACTCAGGAACTGCACTTTTACTGTTGCTGCGACTGTTCAGTCCAATACATATTCAGAAGGGTTAGGTAGGACATCCAGATTCCAGTTGTGAATTTCTTTTCTGTTCCTGAGCCAGCAGGTCAGCTCCTGCGCGTGCACGTAGCATCTGATCTGATACGGTGAAGCATTGTTCGCTTCTGCCTCTGAATTCTGATCCTTCCTTGGCGTAGAATGGAAGCAATTCAGAAGACCAACTCGCGTTGCTCAACTGATTCATCAGCAATTCGCATGTAGATCCTTCTGTCTGAATATGTGATCAAGCCAATGGAAATACACTAAGCTACATCGAGCTCCGGCCATGGTCAGGTCCAAGGGTTGAACTTCTGACCTCATAGATGACGCTAAGGACCTGTTTAGTTCGTGAAAAGAAAATTTTTGGGTGTCACATTGGATGTTTGACCGGATGTTGGAAGGGGTTTTTGGACACGAATGAAAAAACTAATTTCATAACTCGCCTGGAAACCGCGAGAAGAATCTTTTGAGCCTAATTAATCCGTCATTAGCATATGTAGGTTACTGTAGCACTTATGACTAATCATGGACTAATTAGGCTCAAAAGATTCGTCTCACGACTTCTCCCCAACTGCGCAATTAGTTTTTTTAATATATATTTAATGCTCCATACATATGTCCAAGAATTCGATGTGATGTTTTTGGGGAAAAAAATTTAGAAACTAAAACAGGCCTAACACAAACAAACAAACAAGAGTAAATCACAAAACCCCAGGTTTTGAGACACATACAACATAAAACCTCGGGTATTATGACTTGTTTCGAGTAACACTAGATTTTGAGGCAAAATGTTTCAAAAAGCCATATGTTTACATCAAATACTCATAGTTTTATTATTGTATATGTTCACATTAGTAAACTCAAAATACATATACCACTCGTGTACTTTATCTTCTTCCTCACTTTTGTATTACACCATTTAAAAAGTGCAACACAAGTACACAACCCCTTAATAATGACACATTAACCAGTTACTTATATACATAAACAGCCATACTACCAATAACCGATGCTCGTTAAAATAAGTCCAAACACGTATATCATGGAAAATACTTTCATAATATATAATTAGTCAAAAACAATGATATTAGCTTAAACATGGGGTTTCTTGAAACATTTTGCCCCAAAACCTAGGGTTATTCGAAACAAATCTTAATACCTAGGGGTTTTGCGTTACGGGTGCCTCAAAACCTGGGTTTTGTGAAATTTACTCAACAAACAAAGATGCATTACTCTCTCCGTTTCATAATATTCGCACTATGTTAAACTATGTGATTATTACTCTCTCTGTTTCATATTATAATCACATAGTTTTATACGAAATCAAACACTTTTACTTTTTACCATTAATTTTTAAAAACATGTATAATTCAACATGATAATTTACCATTAATTTTTAAAAACTTGTATAGTTTAACAGCGTGGGAATAATTATATAGTTTAACATCTATATTTTTAGAATAATCATGAGAAATACTTTCATAATATATAATTATTCGCACGCTGTTAAACTATGTGATTTTTTAGGAATTAATGGTCAAAGATAAGAATTTTTTTTATTTACAACAAATCTAATTTAATACGGAGGGAGGACATCATATGCATAGAGGCCATTGACCTGAACAAGATGCAGTTCAGTAATCCGTATGCATGTGTGGTTGACAGCACGATGCATGCAGAAGCAGTTCAGAAGACGAAAATTTGTTGGTTTGGTTGGTCTCGTCTCTGTACTGAACTTCACACAGATGATGGCTTTATGTCACTGACTTATTTGTGCTTTCTGAAAACCAACACACACTACAGAAATGTCAAACGAGGAGAAAAAAAGGATGTTCAGATCGAAGAAAACTCATCCATGGTGCCCATTTTGACCCGGAAATCAACTGACGATGATGTGTGCTGCTGAATTCTCATCACCATGTACCATTTCAGGAGGCATGACCGGTTGGTTGATCAATGCAGCGATCAACCATTGCACGTGTGCATCTGAATTCTCTTCCTGCATTGCAGCCTGATCTCTCCTTCATTGAGAAATCTGAAGCAGTAGCACAGGCCAAACTTGCGTTTGTGATGTACTGAACTTTCTCAGAAGCGATAGCTACTTGGTCAGACAAATCTGTTAGGATCTTTAGTGGTTATTTCTGCACGTTTGTTGAGGATCGAGTTCGCATGAATAAACAGGACAAATGATTGATCCAGTTAGAAGGAATTAACAGGTCAAGATATTATGTTTTTCTTTTCCAACACATGGAATGGCTTGTCTGAACATCTGGAAGAAACTGTACTTCTGAAGAACAGAACAGGAAACTGTCGATTAAGTTAAATTTCAATTAGAAGAAGCATGTTTAGTGCATCAAATCCATAACCAGTGATGTTGCTGTATTTAATACATGCAAATAAAGCATATGGAGACTGGAGCTAAATACAATCACATTTCAGCAACCTCAGTACAAACTTACATGAGCAGTAAATACAGGTAGAACAGAACCCACTGGTAGTTTCTTGGCAAAACTTCTAGACAAATTTGTCAGGATCTTCTTGGGTGAATATCTTCAAGTTTTGTGAAGATTCGAGTTCGCATAAATCGACAGGAAAAATGATGAATCCAGTTAGAATTATAAGTCAAGATATTCTGTTATTTTCCAACACATGGAATGGCTTGTCTGAAGCTCTGAAACTCTAGATGAAACAACATTAAAAATTCTGAAGAACAGGACAGGAAGAAGTCGATCAAGTTACTTTCATGCACAATGCAAATCCAGATAACTAAATCGGCTGAAGAATATTTGGTGCAATTGTATGCCTCTTCTCAAAATGAATAAAGAAGGCATAAATTCATTCTTGGACAGAGAAAATTCAGAAAAAGCATCCAGTAAAACATGTGGAGTGAAAATGCCAAACTGCCAGCTTAACTTGAAAGCAAGCACAAATAATGACAAAATACATTATTCCTCTGATATAAAAACAAATAAAATGGCAACTTGGACAGCACATTTGTCTACAGGCATCATGCTGAAAAATAACGTTGTCAGTCAAAGTCAATAAAAAAGTAGTTAGTGGTTAGTATATTTACTAGTAGTTGATAGTTCCCCTTCTTTTTTCAGTTGGGTTTGCAACTTTGCATAGCTACTGCTGGTTCCTGAACGTTCACACTGCAAAGCAAAATGGATAAAAGCACGTCATTATTTTTTTAAAAAAAGAATTCAGCTATCAACAATAGAACACAGTTCAGTCGGCACTTTATTCACAAGTAAGAAAGGGTTAATTTAATCTATGCCATTACAAATATGACATATTAGAAAAATATAACATTACAATTCGTGTTATCGGCTCGGTGCCACTGAGAATTTTTAAAATCGGAACCATGCCAATCCCGTCACTATTTCCGTCCTCCTCTCTCACGCCGACAACCTCACCGTCATAGCCCACCCACCCCACCCCCCCAACTTCAGAGAATTTTCTTCAGTCTAATTTTCTGATTTATGCTCTGAAGAATTTGTCAGTCTTTGTTCCGAAGAAGTTTTAACCGCAGTTCTCATGGTGAAACGCAGAGAGATTCAGACGGACGTGCGGTGGCGAGACGGATCTAAGTGGGCCGACACGGCCCAGGATGACGTGGGTGACATGTGGGCCGCATTTGGCCCATCATGTCCGCGTCAGATATGCAAGCAGATTGAGGAGTCCGTTCCGTTCACTCGTCGCCGTCGCCGAGATGAGCAGCAACCGCAAACGCGAGCTCGAGCGCCTCCGAGGCGCGGCGCGGTGGCTCCTTCTGCAACGACGCCGACGCCGTCGTTTCCCTCTCATTAATTACAGATCGGTAGAGCGGATACCTCATACATTGTTCCATCGTCACCGTCCTGAAGTTGTCGTCCATCGGGGTGGACACTGGACAGCAGAGGATATCCTCCAGACAAATAGGATGGAATGTGGAAACTCCAAGACAGGAAACTATGAAATAGTATGGGCAAATCAATTCTATTAGCTCGTTCAAACAAAAAAAAACATGGAAAATTAAGCTTGGGTGTTGCTATGCAATGAAAAAAGTGCCACGACTTAGATTTCACCGTTTTGTTATATAAGACTTTATTTGAATTATTTCACTGTTTGTATTGCACTTCTGATAAATTAGGCTTGAATTGTGTTATGTGCTTGAGGTTTTTGGATTGTCTTTACCCTTTTGAACTAGATGGGCACACCCATGATAAAAATCCTGGGTCTGTCACTGGTCGACGGCCGCCGGGATCGCGTCCATGTCCGACGATGCCAGCCGGAGTCGCTCGCCGGTGGTCTTGCAGCAGCTTGAGGTGTTGATACGATCGATGTATTGCCGCTAAACTGCACTGTACCAGACTCCTCTGGTATTTGCTCATTTCTAGTAACAGAAATGGTGGCTTCATGCCCTAGTTCAAAAAAAAAAAAAGATCATGTATTGCCGGTTTCTGATACTATCCATAGATGTTCACAGAATCACAGTTAGCTCCGTTTGTAACGTTGTCTCACGTTTGGATCCAATCATCCCATTCAAGGGGGTTTCGGAGACTAAAACTCCGACCTTTTTTGCGACGGCCCATGAAGAACTGTACGTTCCGTGCGTTCCCCGTGTGTGTAACAACGAAGATACATGGGTTGGCTTGGTTTGTAGCCTAAATAGAGCTTACCAAAATTTTGTCAATGCCAAATTTTGGCAAATTTTGATATGACTAATTTTGATAAGGCAAAGTTGTGTTTGAATTGAAGCCAAAATAGACAAAATTCACTATTGAAATAACCCATTTTCTTAGGCATGCTAAAATTTGGCTTCAAATCAAATATTGTTAAGCCTATTTTATATCTCAAACCAAACCAGCCCTATATGACTATATACGGTAGAAACTACAAAGATGTCCTTGATGCTGTTAATCCATTCATTATACAGTGGGCATGAATTCATGGAGTTTCTTCCTATTAGACGAGAGCCAACACTTCCATGTCTTCATCGGAGAAACTTTTAGCTACTAATCACATTCAATATTCTCTTCGAGCAATGCACAGCAGTTGCGTGGAAGTTAAGAGGAAAAATATATGATAGTTTCCACCGAATAATCAAGTGGGCTAGTTGGGACACATGGTCAGCGATTTGAGATACCTTGTCATTTACCTCTGTACATGTAGAAGTCAACTTATTACAGATATGTACATACCCAAGCAACTGCACTCTTTGCTTGCTGAGGAGACTGGAGTTAAGGACTTCACATTGCATTTGCATGTTCTTGGCTTTAATATATACGGATGACATGCCAGACAAAAAGTTAAAAGAAAGGTCGCGGCGAATGCAAGTCGAACGATCATGGATTAACCATGACACCTTGAAGCAAACATGGGTGAGGTTTGGCGAGTTGCTCTGCCTCAAGGGAGCAGCTCTCGCTCCCCACGCTATTGTTACTCTCAGGGACAGGGAGTGCCTCCTTGTTCTTACGGGGGGCACGGCATCGTACCCACAGGTATGAGAACCCTGCAAAGGCCGCCTGGCTCGCAAACTGCACGCGGTATACTAGGCTTATCTCCCACAAGCCACTGCCCACGTTAACGGCCAAGGTATCCGCATCATACCCTTCGAGGTCCGATTTGGAAACCATGACGAATGTCTTCTCGTCAAATGCAATGAGGTTGCGAGTGGCAAGGAACAGCGGTGGTTTCATTATTGGGCTGTCCAGGCAAATGGATTTCCCAGATTTCTTCACCCTAAGCTGGTAGAATTGCTCAACAGCCTACAAAATATGGCATGCGACACATCAGCGTTAATGAAGTCTGACTGTTGAATATGAACAAAGGAGACAAAAACATAAAGGTGTTCCTTGCATACTGTAAAGTATCTCCAAACATCTAAATCTAAAAGATTGAGTTGAACCGGTTCACAAAACAAAAGGTAGGGGCAGCTTGATAGCCACAGTGTCTATTACTATCATGAATAGTGGACAAAACCTTATCTCTTTTCTGGAACTAGCAAAAATGTAAGGAGCTCCTTGACCACTAAAAATCATTTCAAATATCCAATAATAAGTTGCATATATTAGTGTCTAACAATTTTTTTTCAAGATGGAAGTCATATAAATGGGTCCAGTTGATATTGAAAGCAGTCCTATTTAATTCTGAATGCATAATATTTTTTTTCACAATAAGAGCATTCTGAATTTAAGAGAAACACAGCCATGAAATCATTCTGCCCACAAGCACAGAATTTTTTTTGTGGCAGCTTACCTGCCGCTGTGCAGAAGCTAATAGCACCCTTGGCCTGCGCAAGCGAACATGTTCATAAGCTTCAGCCGGAGTCATTTGTTTGTATTGCACCTAAGTACAGAGTTAATGGTCAGTATCAAATTTCGATTATATAATTAAGTCGTATCTGCATGGCCAAATAACCTAACATACCAAGTAGCAAAGAACAACTGTTGTGCTCCGTCCACGTCCAGCTTTGCAGTGAACATATGTCAACTTCCCACACAAAGCATTTCCTTCCAAGATTAAAACAACATAAATAAATACACGAGACAAACCTAGTTAAAAATCACAATTGCAACAGCACAATAGGATCTCTACGAAATTAATGAACTTAAATTTTTGTCTACCTCCCCATTAGAGGAAGTGAATATCACAACATGCACGAAAAGTAAAAATGTAGAAGAGCAAGCAGAGCAAAAAAGGCAGTAAATAAAAGGTCTTAAATTTTTTGTATCCACAACGTAGCAGCATATTCAGTCAAGTTTCAAGAGGAAACTGCAGTAGCATACTGCAAAACCAAATGGCGACGGCCATTATATTGGTAGAGTTAAGTACAATGCACAAATTATTTATTACAGGGTGTTGGGACCAACAAACATAAAAAACATCTCTTACTACAAACAAACCAAACCAAACATAAGGTATCAAATCACAAGTTCTGATATCTACTCATGCAATGAACAGTACAGTCAAAAACAAACTAGAATATACATAGTGATTCCGTCGTATTATAGGATATGCAATTTGAGTAGATTCTTACTGTGGATGAAGTCAGCAGCCCGGCAAAGGTTCTCAAATGATGGTGCATAAAGATAATCTCTAGTTGGTAACACCAGGTTTTCAATTCCATGAGCCTAAAAAACAAAAAGACCATTTCAGTTGTGTGACCTAGAACTGCTAGTTATTTGAACATTCGCTCATGACCAGCAGGCAGAAACAGATATATGTAAAATTTAGGGAAGTTAGCATGGACATGGCACATCAGTTGTAAATTACAAAAAAACAGCGCCAGCGTGATTAGATTACATGTAAAGATTGCACCAAATGTACAGTTTAACGTAGAAGAAAGCAGAATGTTAAAAAAGGAGCATGTTGCATGAACATTTCAATGCCTAATTAGATTTCTTTTTTCTGAACTAACACAATGTTTGCTATAACCTTGTCATTTAGGTTGACCATGAGTAGTTTACATATCACTGACCTAGGATCTTCAATCTACCTTAACTACCACAGTCAGGTAATAACAATATAGTACCTAACAAACAGCGATTTGTGGTCCCATCAGCTAAACAAAAGGGCGCTTCTAGTATTTTTCTCAAACCCTTGATCTGATGGGTGGGCATCTAGATGGCAAACACAGAAATCTCCAGTAATTGCTCTCTTCACATTGCAGTATTGCACCACTGAGACCACTGGAACCTGATTATGCTATATGCCAGTGTGGTTTACAACAAGGCCGTGCACCTCCTCGTTATCAGAGTAACAACAAATAATATGCAGGAGCCATACTCGCAGGAAGGAATTAACAAACAGAAGCAGCAAAACTTACAGAACTACATATTATTCAGCACATTTGATCAGTCATTTAGTGGAATGATTTGGCCGTGTGACTACCTCATACAGGCACCTGGGAACCAGCCTCTCGTAGGATTCATTCAGTGTCACAACACCGCAAACTCCAAGCTCCTTCAGCCGTAGAACATCGCTGGGGAAAGGAACAGCACCGAGCAGAACATGCTGATCGAAGCAAAAGAAAAGTACACAATTAGAGCAGAGTAAACTATAACTCTAAACAGATCGAGAAATCAATACTGCAGAAAAGGTAGTGCCAATCACCCACATACAGGTCCAAAACACTAAACGAATCGAAATTGAAACAAAAATCCAAATACAGCAAGAACTATAAACGAAGAAAATCTCTTCTCCACTATGCATATGCAGTAGGAAAGACCTAACCCTAAACGTTTGGAGTGCAAACTGCCATGATGGTCAGCAAACCACCGTAAGAAGCTACATTACAGGGCAAAATCCGTCGGCGGCACAAGATGAACGCGAAAGCCACGGCGATCAACAACCAGAAGAGGGGGGAAAACCTCCAAAAACAACCGAAATCAAAAGAGGGGGTAGGAAATTTTCCCCACCTCGTCGACCTGATCCCACCAGTGGAAGTGCGGCTCGAATCGGTTCCTGACGACGTTGTACACCAGCGTCGGGTAGAACAGCATCCGCGCGCCGACGCCCACCGCCGCGCGCTTCGCGTCGAAAGCCACACGCATCACCACCCCACCCTCCTCCTCCACCGCCGCCGCCGCCGCCGCCGCCCCACGACGCAGCTGCAGCAGCGCCCCGCCGCCACCACCACCACCACCATCCCCACCTCCTCCGCCGGAATCACCCGGAAGCTCCTCGATCCGCATCTCCCCCTTCCCTCCACCTCCTCCACCCCGCCCAAATCGACCCGATCTGGACCGATCCGATCGGGAAAAAAAACACACACACCAGAAAAAAATCCCCCCCAAAAAACAACGAATCAATCGATCAGCGGGTGGAAAAAGGGAAGCTCCGCAGCGCGAATCGGAGCAGCTGGGCGGCGCGAGGTGGTGGTGGTGGAGCGGAATCGAATTGAATTCGCGATTCCGCAACCGCGCGGAAGAAATCGAGAAACCCCCTCCCCTTCCCTCGCGCTCACGCCTCCCCACCCTCTCCTCTCCAAAAAGTCGAAACTGCCCAAACCGAGCAGCAACCCCCGCGCATCCGATTAGTAGTACACCCGGCCGCGCGCGACCCCTTCGTCTGACATGTGGGGCCCACTTCCACCGACAGATGGGGCAGGGTAACGGGGCGGGGGCGGGGGCGGGGGCGGGGGCGTGGGTCCCCTAGAGGTGACATGGCGGCCGTTGATTTGTGGATGGGCTTGGATCCGAGCACTGACTCGAGGACGCGGACGCCACGTGGATTTGCAGAGGTGGGGTTAAGGAGATCGTGTGGGGGGTTAAACCGCTAATCCGGTAAAGTGGATAGTTCCATGCTTGTATAGGACGTTAATCGCTTAATCCATTGCTTCATCTCGCAGTGCCTTCTGTGTGTTTATGTCATTATCTTTCTTTTTTGTTTGTTTGTTTCGTTTTGGAACAAATGCACGTATAGCTATAGATTTCTTCACGAAAATAAAAGTAGAGATGTCTAATGTAATGGACATGAGTTATGGTGTGATGTAGTCACTCAAAGTATAAGGCGAATTAGTTGTTACGTGCCTAAAAAGAAACATTCTTCTTAAGAAATTTTTCTTGTGCCGTATTGCTTATGGGGTGTTAAGATTCAGGGTGTAAAGTTTTTGCACGTCACATCATGTATTATATAGGGTGTCGCATAGGGTGTTTGGGCACTAATAAAAAACTAATTACAGAATCCGTAAGTAAACCGCGAGACGAATTTATTAAGCTTGATTAATCCATCATTAGCAAATGTTTATTGTAGCACCATATTGTCAAATCATGAAGCAATTAAGCTTAAAAGATTCGTCTCGCAAATTAGTCGCAATCTGTGCAATTAGTTATTTTTCTAATCTATATTTAATACTTCATACATGTGTTCAAACGTTCGATGTGAGAGGGTGTAAAGTTTCTTTTTCCAAAAAAATTGTTAATTTACCAAAATATTCATTTTATATCTACAACCGTGTAGATAATGCATCACAGACGCTCGGTTAATAATCTATGTCAAGTTATGCCTATTTCAATCTGTTTCAAATTGAGCCTATTTCAATCTATTACTAATTGGAAATCCAAATAACTCGTGAGTTTCAAAAGTAGCATTTGTAAAGTTGAAAACAATTAACATGATGATGACCTGTTGATATTCCTCCTAACTTTTTGCCTACCTGTTCTTTCCAGCGTAACACCTCACTCCTTCACTCATGTCTACACATTCTTGGAAGCACAACAACCCATGGACATTGGGCATTCCTTTCGATGCCTTGATATGGTGTATTGTTTGTTTGTTTTCAGAGCAAAACTTATCCCCAAATCAATTTCAGCATGATGCCAGGATGATAACTGACAAAACAACCGACAACGATGCGTCAGCAACGCACCAAGATTAGCCTAGCGTGCTTCCAACAACCAACCGATCTAATCTAGTTCTCAACAAGCTGACATAGTATACAGTAGAGAGAAAAGTACAGAGAAATGCAGTACTGAATGCAGCTTGGTCACCACAGGAAAGAAACTCTCAAGTTAATTAATTACAGGCTTAATTACAGCTACTGGTGCAACTGGGTAAATTTGGACCACTCATCCAACCAAGGATTGGAATCAAACCAGCAAGCTAAAGTCTAAAGGGTAGCCTCTGATCAGGATCAGATTCTTCACCAGCTAACTGAAGCTGAATGCTGAATGCTTAGATTGCTTGCTGCTGTAAAGGGAACTGAACTGAACTGAATGAATTACAGGCTGAAACCTGAAGTTGTTTCAGTTAAGTTCAGAAGAAGATACAGTAGAAGTAACAGATTACTGCTATGTTTTACTAGCAGATTAGCTCATGGCAAGATTTTTAGATAATGGAACAGATATCCAGTTTGATTGCCAGATGCAACAGTCGATCTCCTTGCCCAGAAATTGAGCATGAACATGCACTCACTCTCATTCATCATCTACATGAATGTAATTTGTTTACAGGTGGTTCTTGATAACTACTAATTAGCTATCACAAATACAAATAGTACCGTACTATCTATCTCTGCTCAAAACGAGAACAAAAAAAAAAGTAAAAAAGTGGCGCCGGTGATCGCCGGCGGCGGGCGGCGGGCGAGCTACTTGCCGTGCTTGACACCACGCGGCCCCGCGGATTTCTTTATCGACTCGATTCTCTGCAGCCTGATCTGCTCCCTGAACCTGGCGATGAACTCCTCCGCCTTCTTGTCCACCTCGTTCTCGTCCACCTCCGGCGACGACTCCCTCCTCGGCGAGTTCCCCCTCGTCGAGAGCTCGCCGTCGCCGTCGACGTCGCTGTCGTCGTCGTCGCTGCTCTCCGAGGACACCGTCACGTTGCCCAGGATGGGGTCGCTGCTGCCTCTCTCGTACTGGAACCTGGGAATGGATTGGTACGCCCTGTAGCCACCGTACGGATCGTCTGAATCCGATCCGTGAAGAAGAGCCGGCGCGTCGCCGGCGACGGCGACGTCGGGTTGTTCTTGGCTCTGGCTCTGGAGTGATTCTCTTCCTCCTCTGATTGTTCTCACCGATTTGGCAACTGGGTAGTACGACGAGGAGGAGGAGGAGCTATCTATGGAGATTCTTGGCTTCGCCGACGAGGAGTTGCTGCTGCTACGGCTGAATTCGGAGGTAGTGAAGCTGTGGGAGGTTTGCTCCTGCAGCTCCTCCTTGAAGCTCTTCGCCGCCGTGCGGCGTTCGGCCGCCGGCGGATGGTAGCCGTGGACGAGGAACGGAGGTGGCGGCGGAGGCGGCGCCGGTGGGGATGACTTGTACGGGCTCCTCCGCCTGGAGGAGTAGTCCTCACTGGCCTTGGCTAGTGTCTCCTTGGACAGGGACGACGCCGGGGAGAGCCTCTTCGGCGACGGCGAAGGGGGGCTCGGCGCCGACGCGTCGAACCTCCCCGACCGTGACCGCCACGGGATCGGCGAAGGGAGCACGGTTTCATGGCCGCCGCCGCCTCCGCCGGGCGTGTCCTGTGAGATCCTGCGCGGCCGCGCCGCCCACGGCTCGCCGCCGTCGCCGTAGCCCGCGCTGGAGGACGACTCGCCCTGCGGCTTCAGTGTTCTTACGGGCAGCGACAGCGGCGGCGCCTGCTGCGCCGCCTCCACGGCGTGGCTCCGGCCGCCTCCTGCGCCGCCGGTCGCCACCACCACCACAGGCTCGTCGGGGTGGTGCATCGCGCTCCACGACCGCACCCTGTTGCCACCCGGGCTGTCGAGCGCCACGTCGCCGCCACCGTCGTCGAACACCAGCGAGTCGTGGATCATCTGCGACACGTACCCGGCGGAGTCCGCCTTCGCCTGCGCCGCGGCATCCTTCTCGTCGCCCCGCCTCCCGGCGTTGTTCCGGCGGCTGAACAGCCCGTACGACACGGCGATCCCGACGACGAGCAGGTGGAGCAGCTCCCACACCTTGGCAAGAAACGCCTCCCCACGGCCGCCGCCGCCGCCACCATCTCCCCCCGCCGCCGGCGCCTGCGGCGACGGCACGAGGGGGAGCAGCAGTACGCACGCCGCGAACACCGCCGCCCTGAACGGGAAGCTCTGCAGCAGCGACGCCTGCGCCACCGCCATTGGAGGAAGAAGAAGAAGACGAAGAGGGGGAAGCGGGAGGCAGCGTGACGACGCTGTTTTTAAGCTGCTTTTGCTAAGTTTTTCTCTTCTTCTTCTCTCTCTTTGATAGCTTTTCGCGCGCAAAATAAAAGTTGTATCAAATTCTCTCACCCTTTGGCTTGGGCTTTATGGCCAACCATGCGTTGGAGATGCATCGAGATTACTAGAGATGGTATCTCTTCTCATCTCATCTATTATCTCTTTTTATTTTGTGTTTTTCTTCCCCTCTACTCTCCTAGGCAAGTGTGTGTAGTTTGAGATGGTGAGGGAGGCTTGAGGAAAATGGTATAACTTAGCTAGTAAGGGAGGAATTTTGTGTGAGAAAAAGGAATATATGCACTTCTCTCTTGGTCTTCTTTTGTTTTTCACGTTTATCAGTCTCGGCCTCTGTATCATGTGATGCAAGTAACACACCGTTTAATACGCGTGAGTCAAAAACATAAAGAACATATGAAAGAATATGCATTTTTTTCGAGAACGGCGAAATAAGATGTTTGTCCTAACAATGATATTTTATTTTTACAATACATATGTATTATGATTGGCAGATTCCTAACAAAATTCCTATTATCCAAATGCACATGCGCTGCATATATGAGAGTTGTTCTTTTTGAATAAAAGAAAAAAAAAGAGCTCTAAACACGCGAGTTGGAACACGCAAAAATATGAAGGAATATGCATTTTTGTGAGAACGACAAAAGAAACGAACTGAAACAAAAAAAAGATGTTGTACAAACTATGGTCCTTTATTTTTGCAGCACATGCATTATGATTATCAGATTTTATAACAAAATCCACAATATCCAAATGCACATGCCCTGCATATATATATGAGACTTGTTTCTTTTTTTTTATAGGAAAAAAGTGAGCAAGTACTCAAAATCATAAAATATGTTATATCAGATAAACATAGCATTTACACTACAAGTACGCCTTTGATTCGCTCGTGGATGTTACGCGAATATTGTGCTGCTTCAACGTGATCGAGCTCTTTGTCTTCTCTCACTGACGCGTCTCTGACGAAATGCTGATCGAGCATGCATATGCATTAACCACCCTGCAGCTGTTAATCTCTTTTCAGGACAGGACAGTAAATCCAGGTAAAACTGCAAAGGTTTTTTTTTAATCGAACTGCATTTCATTTTATTAAGAAGTAAATTCAGGTAAAACTGCAAATATTTTTTTTTAAAAAAAATGCAGAAGAGCTTCATTTCATTTCAGTGAGAAGTCAGTTTAGGTAAAACTGCAAATATCATAACTACTGCGAGATTACAATGTTAGTTTCCATGAAATGGGAATTAACATAACATATACTTCAGTCATCAAGCAGCTGCTTACTCTGCACACTAGTCATCAGTGAAGTCAGCTGCAGAACGTACGTATCCACCAGCTGGACAGTGTACCTGATCGTCAGTTGAGCACTAAAGTTACTCTTGTACATATCCAAACTAAAGGTTCATGAAAAAAATACATCTTTGTGGATTAAGACGAATATAAGCTCGTTCAACACTTTGCAGTAAACTACACCTAATCCTGCATAAGCTAGGAGTAGTAATTTAAAGACACATCATAAAGTAGAGCCAATTAACCAGCACACAGTATGGATTGGTGATTAGATGAGTTCGATACTTCGATGGTGATTGGAACAACAAAGATTTTTCACACAACTGAAACTCTGTACCAACTAGAACATCGGATATGCAGACAGAGAGAGAGCAATGCAATGCAAGGTGATCTGGAGACCTGAAAAAAAGAAGAAGAAAGAACATGAACATTTGCGTGGTTAAAAACCAAAGATTCCTCACTCTTTTGGGTGGCGTACGCAACTACTGCTTCTGCTGCTGATAGCTTTTCTGCAAGCTTAGGTGGGTTTCTGAATGCTGATGGTAGTGTGGCGTTCATGCATGCATGTGGTGGGATTAGTTGCGTTGATCTTGTTTTTGAGGGCAGCATGAGATGCTCCTACTCATCTCGGTTCCCTTTTGGCTTTGAGCATCTTTTCTCCTTTTCTTTTTCAAATGGTTTGGGAATTCAGCTGCTCTTTACTGACTCATCACCGCACGCCAACTTTGATTTTTTTTTTCGTACTACATCAGTCAAATTTTTGTAAGCGAGTGTCACACTTCAGTTGATGCGTGAATCGACAGAATCTGTTGCTCTTGGTATTGTGAAGCAGGCAAGCAGCCATGGCACATGGCAGTGACTAAAGTTCAGTCTTGACTTCCAGTGCTCGAACTGCTCTAGCAACTTTCAGAAAACCTCTCAAACTGAAAAAAATGTACATCCTCTTGGCTCTTCTCCTTAGTATTTTTTCCGCGAACATGCAAAAGACTTGCATATCTCTGTACGCTCTTTAGTAATAGAAAATAGAACGTTCACAAGATACAAATGATGAAATTATTCAAGATCCTTTAGGCCTTGTTCGGTTAATCTCCATGAGGGAGGGATTGGAGGGAATTTATCAATTTTGCTATATATTTGTCGACAAATTTTACCCCAAAAATTTGACAGATGTAATTACAGTACAATCGTAGTGTAATTACATTGTAACTTGCATGTAATTACACTGTAACTATAGTGTAACTTGTATGTAACTTTCAAAAATCTCTCCGTAACATGTTATTTCGATAAAATGGAGGTTGTGGGAATAAATTCTTTCGCATATGTGTGTGCTATGATTTGTTTTCTTCATCACCAAAATAAATCTTGTAATAGATCTAACGATTCAAAATTATGTGAAACTTACATATAAGTTACACTGTAGTTACATGCAAGTTACAGTGTAATTACATATAAGTTACAGTGTAATTACACTACGATTGTACTATAATTACATCTGTCAAATTTTTAGGAGAAAATTTATCGACAAATGTATAGGTGGTCCCGAATTTATTCCACACCTAATATGGTGTGGAATTATTTCCCTTCAATCCTCTCCAATCTCCTTCGATCCCTCCAAACCAAACAAGGACTTATTGATATTTTTCAGCGAGGTATATGTGCTGGATTAGGCATGGGCCAAGAGTATTGTTGGGCTTCTGAATGGGTTTTGTGGCCCACGTTCAGTCCCTATGTGTGCTAGAAACTATATGGGCCCGCGTAACAGTGACATACGAGTGTGGGCAGCTGTTGGGCCCACGTTCAGGTCCATAGTATCCAACGGCCACATGAAATCTGGCCCATAAAATGGCCATATTGATCGAGCTAGTGGATAGGAGGCCAATTGGGCGTCCCAGCCCAACACGGCACGGGCCCGCTAAGACACGGCAACTGTAGCGGGCCGTGCCTTGCTGGTCCGTCGGTGCCAGCCCATGGGCTAAACCTCTGCCGCCGGCTCTTGCCCCTTACCGGGCTTCTGTTGCATCGCTGGGTTGGGACGCGGATCTGCTTGTTCATCTCATAGATGAGACGAGATGAGATGAGCCTTCACCGATTGATGGTTTTGAGAGAAGTCCTTGAGAGCGTTTCTGAATAATGGATGGAATTTCTGAGCACCAAACGGGTTTTGACTGGCGTCCTGCGATATCAAATGCTAAGATTTCTGGAGAAGCTAGCTGCAATCATCCCATTTGTTAAGATGAGAAGATCAATTGATAATGACACCTGTGTAGATGATCAATTGATAATGTCTCGTTGCACATTTGCAACTTTCAGAAAAATTCAGAGTCCAGGCCATGCCATCCTACTCCATCCGTTTCAGGTTATAAAATATTTTTGACTTTAGTCAAAATCAAACTATTTTAAGTTTGACCAAGTTTATAGAACAAAATAGTACTCCCTTCGTCTCATAATATAGCAACCTAGTACTGGTCTACTGGATGTGACATTTCATAGTACAATAAATCTAGACACCATCCTATCTATCCAGATTCGTTGTACTATGAAATATCCAATTGGTACTAGGTTGTTATATTATGGGACGGAGGGAGTAATATTTTTGACCCAAGATAAATTTATTATAAAAATATATTTAATTATTAATTTCTATAAACTTAGTCAAATTTAAAGCAGTTTGACTTTGACCAAAGTAAAAATATCTTATAACCTGAAACGGAGAGGGTACTTTTCAGTGATTCAGTCCATCCAAGATGAGAGGGCAAGACCTACAATTAGTTGCATCTTTATGTTTCTGAATCTGGTTTGCTTCAAAATTTTCTCACTGTCGGACTAACACATATGTATGTTCAGAAATTTCAGATTCAGTGCTGCAGCGCCGCAGACTGAATTTTCACGGCTCATTTTGACTGAAACTAGGGTGAAATGAAACAAAGTCAACACCTGGGCACTTCAAGCAAAGATAAGTCTTGTTCCTTCCCATGAATTCAATTGAAATAGCTACAAGTAAAGCACCCTGTGCTGTGATAATTTCCTATGAAATTTCACTAGTAGAATGGAGTGTAGTACAGATAAACTACTCATGACTCATCCTTTCTGCATCCATTCTACTAGTGTTTGTAGTTTATCTGTACTACACTCCATTCCTATGAAATTTCACTCTGTAGTGTTCGTAATTCTTCACTCTTCCCAAGCTTCTCGGTAAGTAACTTGTTGACTGAAAACAAAAAAAAAATGCTAGAGAATCAGTCGATGAGCAGGCAAGAGCTTGGGAATTAGGAGGAAATGCTGCCATGCTTTCGTTGGCCGTAGCAATTTCTTGACTAGATTCTTGTACTAGGAAGCTGCTCGCTAGCGTAATCACAAAGACACGACTTGACCTCGTACTTAAGGAATACTACTACTAAACCTACTTCAAGTACCAATCTTCCAATACATTAACTCAAGATATCATCAGAATCTTTGGTACTCAACTCGTGCAAGTGGCTGGATTTTGACCAGATGGTCGGTTGCTGTTTGCCAATTTCCTTGGCTCTTCTTGCTGATGCGCAAGTTAGGCCAAACTAGGATCTATCTATCTGTCTGTCTACTTATTTATGGCTAATTCTTTTTTCCTGATCAGAAACGATCCACCTCGAGATCTTGTCAATAATTTGCAGCCGCAATATCTCCAACGAGGTTAGCACCAACAAAATAACAATATCATCTCCTATGCTAGTGACATTATTCCATTGATTTGCCACCTCGAGAAACAAAAAGTTGTGACAACCCTGAAAAGAAGAAAACAACTGCAGAAAAGGATCTCCACTCCACCTTATCTCTGAAGATCATATTTCCCAATCCTATGATCCATTTCTTTATTCCTGCATCTCTCTCTTTCCTTCCTTTTGTCGACGACAGGTTGCCGTCGACTCTGCACCAGCAACGGTGGGGGCATGCAGGCACCGCACCGACGACGGCGATCGAAGAGGCCAAGAGGCAAAGTTTTGCAGTGATTTTGGTGAGTTTCAAGCATGCAAACCAAGCAGCAGCAGAGAGATTCAGTTGGGAGCCACCTAGGCATGCCATGCATCTTTCTTTGCAAAGGTTGAGACCCAGCAGCAGTGCAGCGTGCTTGACATCTCCTTGTGTTTTTCTCCTCATCATGGACCACTTATCCTATCGAGATCCACATATCCTGGCCTAGATTCGACCACATCCCATCCATCTCCCTTTTCCCTTCCTATGCAGCTCCAGAGACCTGCAGTAGACAGACTCTGCGTAGCATATGGCATGATTTCTGCATATCCATTATCTTGCTAGGCCTAGAGATCTTAACAGTTGGGCCATTATTGATGCAAAGAAAGCTGGTGCTTTGCTTCTTTGTGGAGTAGCTGTAGTTCACTGTTGTGTTTGAGTTCTTAGCATGCAAAGCAAGCATAAGTGACCAGCATGTCCTGACAGTAAAAAAAAAAAGAAGAAAGAAACTGAATTCTGCATGATTCTTCACTGGCTTTCATTCTCTGCTGTTAGAAGCAAGCATAAGTCTGGAATGAATGCATGATGACAAGAGAGATTGTTGTGTTTTTTACGAGAGTGGCATGAATGGATTGGCTGGGACCAATGGTCACAAGGACATGAAGGGGAAGGGTCCAATTATTGAAGCACTGGAAGAAGCTCAGAGCCACACAAGAAGATGTCCCAGCTGCCTCCTGTGACAGGAACAGGAAACAAACTAGACTTATGAACAAGATGGAGACCCTTCATGATCTCTGCATCAATATACTCCAATTTTGCAACCGTACAATACAGACAGGCTACTATCTGGTTTTCTTTTCACCAACTTATACCAACCAACCAAGGCTTAATTAAACATGTCTCGGAAGGTACTGACATTCTCACTGTATTATATAAGACTGCTGAAAGAAACGCCACATGACCCAAATACAAAGTTAGCATGACAACTACAACAACAACAACAACAAACAACCCCCGCAAAAAAAAAAAAAAAACAACAACAACAAACAACAACAGCGGCGACGAAGAACAGTAGCTGAAGCCGATCCAGATTCCTTCGGTGGAGAATTGCGTCTGGATCACAGCACCTTGATGGCCGCCTCGATCGCGCAATGAGGAGGCGCGATACTGAGCTCTAGACTGCTGATGGATGATGATGCCATTTCCAGTCCAGAGATCATGGAGAGCGACATGTCCTCGGCGGCCTTTAATCTCTTCACATATTCAGTTAGTTCATCAACCTGACAGAAGGATCAGTTTGTGTTAGTTTTGGTCAGACTGTTGCTGGGTTCCATGAAGATGTTCTCAGATGCTGATTTTACCTGCACGCTATCGCCTCTAAAGCCTCTAGCAACTGGATAGCTTAGTATCTGCAGCAATATTAAAGATTCAGTCTTCAGATAGGATTGTTTGTCTCAAGTTACAACCAGTAATCATCTAAGGGTAATTACAACTCAGCTTGTGGCTACAAAGAAGAAAAAATGGAAGCAAAGTAGAAAATTACCGGGACATCGCCGCGATCTGTATGAATTATATCCTGGGTAGGAGGCTTAGTTCCAACACTCTGAGGACTTGGAAGCTGCAACAGAAGGTTTCAGACAAGAGCATTAGCTGCAAGATCCCAACATGCGTGGATCTGATCAAAGAAGTGCACTGTCACTGACCTGATCATCACTGCACTCAGCAACAACATCAAAGAGGCTGGCCCGGCGCTTCTTTTTGCCAGGGTTGGTCTGCCGGAGGAAGTACTTCTGGGCGTGGCTGGCCACCTGAGTCGCCGTCCTGCTGGTCACAAAGTTCTTGGAGATGCCTCTCCAGTCCCCTTTCCCCAGCTGCCTCAGCCCTTCCAGGAATTTCTTGTGCTCCTCCTCAGTCCATGGTACCCCTTCACAGATTAATCAATCAAAGGCAATTAAGTGTCACATGATCTTCACAGGAAGCAACAAACAGGGAATAATTAATTACTCCTAACTAGTAAAAAGTTTTTCAGGTCTGAGAACCTGCTTGTGGATTGTTATCGATGTGTTGTTGACCAATTGACTGACACACAAAAGGTTAATCATTTTTCTCTCTCTTTTGGAAGAGGGGATTTTCAACCAATTTTGTTGGTTGCTCAATCAAAGATATTTTTTTTGTTTTTTTTTTGCTTTCACGGATCATCAAATTGCGTCAAGAATTAACAGTGAGTTGGAAGTTTCAGAGTAAAAAAAAAGGAATCAGGTGATGGAACAAGTAATGAACAGTAGATACAAGAACAGACAAAAAGGGTGGTTGCTCACCTTTCTTCCTCTCCTGCACCTTGCGGCGGCGGCGCTTCTGCTGGCCGGAGGCGAGCTCGGAGTCGTCGGAGGCGCGCCGTTTGCCGCCGTCGGCCGGCACCGGCAGCGGGTCGATGGAGGTGAGGTTGGGCATACTGGAGCTCTTCTTGATGAACAATCCACCCTCCACCTCCTCCTCCTCGTACTCCTCCTCGTCAACTCCGCCGCCGCCGCCGCGGACCTCGACGCCGAACAGCCGGAATATCACCGGCGGCGAAGGCTTCCTCTCCGCTGCCTCCTCATGCTGCTCCATCTCGATCGGTGGCCGGTCGCTGCGTGGTCGCTTTTGGTGGTGAGAATGAGATGAAAATGGCGGGTATCGTCGCCGCGATGAAAAGGGGGGATTATTATTGTTGGGCTCTCGACGGTTTGGAGGAGACTACTGCTCCCACTCCTCTTCTCTGTTTATTTATAGAGGGGGTTTATTTTTCTTATAAAATGCATATGTATTTGAAAAGAATAATAATAAAAAATTAAATTATTTTAACAGCAAAAAAGGACGAAAATTTTAGTCCTTTTGTTGGTACTCCCTCAGTTTTGACTTATTTTACTAGTCAAATTTCTTTTAACTTTATCAATTTTATAGAAAAGTTTAGCAATTTCTACAACACAAAATTAGTTTCATTAAAACTAACATTTATTATGCAGTAAAATATATGGAGGGTCATTTAACTTGTTTATGTGTGTCGTGTATATCATTCTACTTTCAAAATACACATTTAGATTACTAATATGAGTTAAGTAAATCATTTGATTATCAAACTATCCACGTGAGCGCATCTTGTACATATGGTATGTCACCTACGATTGAAAAAAACACTTTTGGAAATATGAAAAAAAAAACGTGTGTGTATTTTTCCCTTTCTCACAGCACTAACATTTAGAAATACACAAAATTAGAGGAACACAATCATTTCACTTCTACCTGTTATTATGTTTGTTTTGTGTTGAAAAATATTACTAAATTTTTATATAAATTAGTTAAATTTAAAGTAGTCAAAATAACTAGCACTATAAAACGGAGGGAGTATTAAATTGTTAATTGACGAATCAGATGGTTTCCCTGCAACTACAGGACTCGTTGACCTCATCTCTGGCATGCCCAAGGCTAAAGGGAAGAGATGCCATCCCTCTCATTTCCCTGTCTTCCAGTGACGTCGGTACTTACGTCTAAAATCTTCTTGAAATGCTCAGAGAAAAAAAGATCTCCTTGGTTGTGCCTGTGGTAGCATATCGAACTAAATCTAATTGTTGGCAGGAGTTTTCGCGTCAATTTCTTGGCAACGATCAGAGACTGAACCTGGCTACGTGTACATGTATAGTGTCAGTAACTCAGAATCTTCTCTTCTTTTTTTTTTTCAGGGCATCATTGTGTCATTGCCTGGGTAGCCACACTGGACAGAAAGAACATTGCAATTGCGACAAAAAAAGAAAGAAATAACTGTTTGCCAGTTGGGTTGCAATTTGCCTGCAGCTTCGAATATTCCACGTGTTGATCGATGAACAACAGATTCAGATATTCAGATCGTACATTCGTACGTACGCAGGTACGTTCATTCGTTTCTGTTCAGCATTACTATATATCTCGTCGATCGATGAATGAATTATTAGCTCATGGTTGCATATATATGTGGGCATAAATATCTCTCATCACATTGGAAATATCTTGCATTGCTAGCTAGCCCTTGAATGTATCGATCGATGATGGCATAGGCATAACGTATGGTCGAGAATACTCCCTCCGTTTCAAAATGTTTGACACCGTTGACTTTTTAGCACTTGTTTGACCATTCGTCTTATTCAAAAAATTTTGTGAAATATGTAAAACTATATGTGTACATGAAAGTATATTTAACAATGAATCAAATGATATGAAAAGAATAAATAATTACTTAAATTTTTTAAATAAGACGAATGGTCAAACACATACTAAAAAGTCAACAGTGTCAAACATTTTGAAACGGAGGGAGTATATAGGTATAGCAGGACAATCGAGCAGCTAGCTAGCATACAGATATCAGTAGTATTTTTCCTCTTGCATCCTTTTCTTTTTCTGAAGAAGAATAGATATCATCATCGACTTGTTTGTCTTTTTTTTTTTGAAACTTCATCGACTTGTTTGTCAATGGAATGCACAGCAACATGCATCGATCGTCAAATCCGTAGTTTCGTAACCAATCATCAAATTAATCAAATCATGCATCGATGTGCAATTGTGTATAGTTACTCCATTTACGAGGTAGTACTCCAATTAGGACTAGTAGTGCTTTTAACTGTTTTTATCTTCGTTATGAGTCATGACCGTGGATAAGTTCAATTCACATTTTAAATCGATGGATTTTCATCGGTCTCTCCTCGAGGTGACAAATTATGAGCAAATTGCAGACGAGAGAAGCTAGGGTCTTTTGACAGAGAGTGAAAAACGGCAACCCTGGAATTCTCATTTTCTCCTCGTATTTGTCAACCTCCCGGTTTTTCTACCTCGTATGGTATCACCTATCCAAACCTCCTTAATTTTTTACTCAGTAGTAGATAGATAGATGATCTTAGTAACTGAAGTGGATTTACTGACTTAACTCTAGTGTTTACTCTTGTTCGTCTGAAACTAGGAATATCATACAGCCGCCGCAGTACAAAACTGAGTTAAAAAACGCACGCCTACGTAGAACAAAACTGCACTGGTAAAGTGGGCCACTTGAATAGATAAAGAAATGGCCCAGCTAGTCCTAATGACTGAACGGGAAAGTCCATTTGACGTCCCTCAACTATGGTTTGTCTAGGTTAGTCCACTATTACAGCCCACAATGCCTTCTTTGAACTGGGCTGGTCTTTACATTCTCCAAACACAAAAAACTAGTGAAAGTTTCGAAGTTGGGGGTATGTTTTTTTAGATAATAGTTAGGGATATGTTTTAGCTGAATGAATGGTGATTGATACTCCAAAATTGTATGTGCTGTGGTCATGACTTGGACAAATTCGAGGTTGCTTAAAAAAAGACAGGGAAAATCAGTGTTTGGCAGAAATAGTGTGAATTCAAGACTCAGGCCTTGTTTAGTTCGCGAAAAAAAAAATTTTGGGTGTTACATCGGACGTTTGACCGGATGTCGGAAGGGGTTTTCAGATACGAATGAAAAAAACTAATTTCATAACTCGCCTGGAAACCAAGAGACGAATTTATTAAACCTAATTAATCTGTTATTAGCATATGTGGGTTACTGTAGCATTTATGGGTAATCATGGACTAATTAGGCTCAAAAGATTCATCTCGCGATTTTCATGCAAACTGTGCAATTAGTTTTTCATTTTATCTATATTTAATGCTCCATGCATGTGTCCGAAGATTCGATGTGATGTTTTTCGGAAAAAAATTTTGGGAACTAAACAAGGCCTCAATAGATACTTATGGAGGATCTTTTGAGTGGCTTGCGTTTCTGCAATGTTGTTGGACGGTCGACCTTCTGCTAAAGTGTGGTATCGACAGTCACTCGACATTGCCTCCTCTGCACCCAATAACAGAAGACGGCGAACCACATCCATCTTAACTATGTTTTTTCTTGCCAAGTATGGTACCATGTTCTGTCTCCTCCTGGTTGGCCCGACCTCGCTCTTTTCTGTGGTTGTTCTCTCTAGGTTTGGTGACCGTCTGCTAGGGCTCGTTTACCTGAGTATCTTCGCAAGGGCTTCGACTCTTTGGTCCTCCTGGTCTCCTGACAACTGTGGAATGAGCAGAACTTTAGAGTATTCGATCGCTCACTCTCTTCGGTTTTCAATGGTGCTAGAGTCTATCCTCCAGGAAGGCCGTATGTGGTCATCTGCTGGAACTGCTGCTTTTGAGGACTTTTGCTAGGAGTTTAGTGGGACTCCGCCCTCTAGGAGTTTTTCATCTTTTTTAAGTTGTCTATAAGTTGTCTTTTCTTTTCGGTTTTTTATTTCTCGTCCCCCGACAATAACACTTTAGTTGTTTGTGTTATGTAATTAAAACGTTGTTTTCTTCTAATATATTGTCGTGTAACTTTTTTCTATGTTGGGGAAAATACTTACATAGGATGATGGTGTAATAGTATGTTTCCTGTTTCACGATTTAGGTCGGCATGCGATGCGATGCGACTCAGTGACTAAACTTTACTTCGACTTGACTTGACTTAGTTTACGACCTTGTATTTCCCAGTCTTGGACGGTGATCTCCATTGCTTTTGTGATTTTGCTTAATCATTTTTTAAGTTGGCTTTTCAAAAGGGCTCCAATAAGTGAGGTAAATTAGTCAGACTTAATGACACAAATTTCCGTAGCCTGACAAAGTACACACATACACAGTACACGCTCGTATGCACACATGATGCACATGTCGCGCGCGCTGCCTCGCCACGCCACGCCGCGCCGCGCGGCTTATAAGCCAGACACCGGCGCGCGCGCCCTCGCCACTCGCGAGCTTCTACTGCTGTCTCTGAGATACTGTCAGTGCACTGTCTGTGCGTTCCCGGCCATGTCCGCCGCCGCGGTCACCGCCACGCCGCGCCACGCCCGGCCGTCTCCTCTCAACCCGAACGCCAGGGCCGCGGCGGCGGCGGCCGCCGCGGCGCCGCCGAACGCCGTGTCCACCACCAGGACGCACCTCGCCAACCTCGACCGCCTCCTCGTCCGGCCGCCGCCGCTCCCCCTGCCGCTCCAGAACAAGGGGGCGCCGCCGGCCGATGACCTCGGCGACGGCGGCGGCGCCGCCACCACCGACGACCGGAGCGGCCGCTGCGGGCTGCTCAACGCGCTCAACCTGTCCACGTTCCTGCCCTTCGTCCGCAAGCCGGCCGTCGACGAGATGTCGCCGCGCAGCCTCGCGCACCTGCAGCGCCTCCTCACGCTGTCGCCGCGGCCCTCGCCGAAAGGCTCCATCGCCGGCGAGTGGCGGAGGTATCACAGCGAGGGCGGCTGGGACGGGCTGCTCGACCCGCTCGACCAGAACCTCCGCCGCGAGGTCCTCCGCTACGGCGACTTCGTGCAGGCCGCGTACACGGCGTTCCACTCCATGCCGTCGTCGTCGTCGGCGGCGGCGTCGCAGCACAGCCAGCACCGGACGCTCGTGCTCCCCGACCGGTCGTACCGGCCGACGCGCAGCCTGTTCGCCACGTCGTCGCTGTCCATCCCGGCGTGGGCGCGGCGGCGGTCGGCGCCCGGGTGGCTCACGCAGCGCTCCAGCTTCGTCGGCTACGTCGCCGTCTGCGACAACGAGGGCGAGGTCCAGCGCATGGGCCGCCGGGACATCGCCATCGTCCTGCGCGGCACGGCGACGTGCCCCGAGTGGGCGGAGAACCTCCGCGCCGGCCTCGTGCCGGTCGACGACGACGACGACGACGACGTCGGCTCGCCGCAGAACGCGCCGAAGGTGGCGAAGGGGTTCTTGAGCCTGTACAAGACGGCCGGCGACCACGTCCCCAGCCTCTCCGACGCCATAGTCGACGAGGTGAGGCGCCTCGTCGAGGTCTTCGAGGGGGAGGAGCTGAGCATCACGGTGGTGGGACACAGCCTCGGCGCGTCGCTCGCCGTCCTCGCCGCCGACGAGCTCAGCGCTTGCCTGTCCGCGGACGTGGCTGAACATCGCCGGCGGCCACCGCCGATCGCCGTGGTGTCCTTCGGCGGCCCGAAGACCGGGAACCGCGCGTTCGCCGACCGCCTCCAGAACGGCCGCGGCGTGAACGTGCTCCGCGTGGTGAACGCCGGCGACGTGGTGACGCGGGTGCCGGCGCCGGCGATGGCGCGGGAGGGGGAGGGGCACGTGCACGCCGGCGCGGAGCTGAGGCTGGACAGCCGCGACTCGCCGTGCCTCCGCCCGGACGCCGGGCCGGCGTGCTGCCACGACCTGGAGGCGTACCTCCACCTGCTCGACGGCTTCGCCGGCTCCGGCCGGCCGTTCCGCGCCGACGCGAGCCGCAGCGTGGCGCGGCTGCTGACCTACCAGCGTCCCAACGTGAGGGGCGCCTACGTCGAGCGCGCCAGGGTGCTCGGCTTCGAGCCGGCGACGCCGCGGACCGCCACCGCCAACGGCGCCGGCGGCGGAGCCGAGGGGCATTACGGCTACTTGGCTAGCCCAACATGATCGTTGCGTACTACTACCACTGTAGCATGCATGCATTGTCGTGTACCACCTTAATTGTTATAGGAGTAAATTGTATCGATAGTACAAGAACTTGTTATGTGGGTGCAATCTAATGTATGGACTTGTAAAATGCTTGTTTTGATACGTGAACTTTTCTTGCTCATATGAATTAAAGTCAAAAGGACATTATATAACTAATTTGTTGATTTAGATGCTGATTAGGATACTACGTAGAGACATACACTTGTTCAATAAAAAGATAGAATGATATATAGTGATCGTAGAGAAAGATATAAAATACCGAGCAATGATTCATGGGTTAGAAACATATGAAATTCAAGATAAAGTAGAGAACAAATTTATAAATATAACATATTTTATGCATACTCACTATTCGTATGGACGCCACATCCTAATCAACATCAGCTAGGTAAAATTAACCTTGCTAAGCCATTTTAGACCTAGATCACACGTATTAGATAAGTTCGTGTAAAAAAAGAACATTTTACAAGTTCATATACTAAATTGCACACACCTAACAAGTTTATATACCACCAATGTAATTTACTCGGGAATGGTATTTAACTCGTAATTGAGATGTATCTGCACGTGTTTCTTGATGTGCATTAATTCTACTGCATATATGATCAAGAGGTGATGCGGTTGAGTCAACTTAACGGTGAACTTTTTTTGAGAACTAACGATGAACTTGTTGGTGTAGTCGTACGTTATGCGTATGCTTTTTGGTGGCAAATTAGGTGGTCGTTATCAAATGACTGGTTTCTGGACATTACGAAATCTGTCAACCATCAGTGGCAAAGCTATATAGTGTTTGGGGTACACATGAACCCCCCAATTCCTAATTTCTCACTTAAAAAGACTAAAATATATAGTGTTGTATTAAAATTTTCTATATTCTCAATGGTAGTGCACCCTCTTATTTTGATGCTAGCTTCGCCCCTGTCAACCACTCATGATCGTGCATCATTGGGTGCATATGTGCATCATCAGGCACAAGCATATGTGACATACAGTACCGATTTGATGCTTGAACTACTGAAGTTCGTACCTCAAATACCATTATTATTATTTAGACAAGAGCTCCAGGACTATTTGTTACTCCCTCTATAAATAAAAAACGAATTCCCTGTCAGGGGCGGATCCCATGTGATTCATGGGTATTCACCTGAATACCCATAGAATTTTTAAAAAAATAACTATATATAGGTATGTTATGCATATATACATGAGAAATTAGAAGGAAGTACAGCATGTATAGCCCAAATGAAAAGAAGCCCATTTATTCGCAGCAGACCATACATTCCTCCCCATCTTGGCCCAACGAATAGGCCCACTGGCCCAAAAACGAACAAAACCCTAGTCCCTATCCCCCGGTCAGCTAGTCCCCACGCCTTCTGTCGTCCCAGCCCCAATCCGCCGCGCCTCCACTCATCCCCACCGACGGGCGACGGGGCATCGAGAGCTCGACGCTCGGCGGCGCCGGCCGCCGGCTCGGCGCGTCGCCAGAATCGCCACCAGCCTCATCTCCCTGGACCCTGGTCCCTGGGCCTGCTGCTGCGGAGGCGGCGTGGCCTGCGACGACGCCGCCGCCTCCTCGGGGACGGGCGACGCTGAGCAGCTGAGGTTCGCACGGACGGCGGCGGCGCTGCGGCGCACGGCGGCAGCCGGTTGCGGCGACGCACCCCCGCGTCGGCGCGTCCCCTTGGTCCCTAGACAGCTGGACAGTGGACTGGCACTGGTAAAATAAATCCTCTTGTCAAATTCCCCAAGCGATTGGCCATTGCTTAATTGCTATTGCTTAGAAGTTAAATTAGTCAGAAATTTGAACTGTAGGTCTTGAAATTTGAAAAATGAAGAAGAAGAAGACAATAGATTTGAAGTCTTTGTGGGAAAGGTCAACCAAGTCTCAGAAAGTAGCTTCCACCTCTGATCCAAAACCATTAACCATTGAGAGTGAAGTTCAGATCCCAGAAAATGCCCCTTCTAGTCCTATTCAGCTACTACTTGAAGCACCCAATGCCTATGATAGTGATATGTCCCCAAGTGTGCAGTTGGAGATAGACATCTTGACTATTGTGCTACTGTTTGTACCTTTAAGGCTTTAAACATGTCATTACCACTCCTGTATGATTTTCCCAGTCCAATTTTTTGAGTTCTGTATGATTTTTTTTTCAGCTTTGAATACCCTTTGCTCAAATCCTGGATCCGCCACTGTTCCCTGTGTCCAGATTTATATTCATGAGCTATTCTTTTACTACGATGAAGAGAGTGCCAAAGAGGTTAAGCAAGCAATGTGCAAACTTTCGTTCAAATGCTTGAGCCGCTGAAATCCATGTTGGATTCACCCCCCATTCGTACAAGATAGGTCATATATTCACATGAGTTTCGTAACTTCGTTCAGAGGCTTGTTTCTGAAAATCCGTAGAAAGAAAATCTACTCCATATATATAATATGCATCACTCTTTGAGGAAAACAATACATTCCATCCGTCCAAAAACATAACTATTTTTGGAATTTAGTTTTTTTTTTCCAAAATTTAAAATATTTCATCACCTATTTCATCTCAACTAATCATAATTTTCTCCTATTTAATGTCCCGCTACGTTTTCTTATCAACCAATAACAATCTTTCATCATTTTATTTGACCTACTTTTTAGATTTATATAAAGTCTCTATAAATACATTTTAAGATATGATAAGTGGATGTTTCTTTCTTTTTATATGTGTGTGGGGGGTGGCTGAATGTAATATGGGCAACAAGGACAGTGACAGGAGTGGCAACATGCAGGGACAAACCGGCCTCTCTCTACCACGTTCACAGCGAGAATGCAAGTGGATCTGTGGATGCATGCCTCGGTGGCGTGCGTGTCAACAGTGGTCAGTGTAGTGGATGACACATTCTTTCTCCCCTTGCACTGTCGGAGACGATATATATGATTCCATCAGTTAACTTCTCTCAAATCAAAATTTTCGTTTAAATATTTTAACTTTTATTCAAGTTATAACAAAAGCTGTACAGTTGTAGATTAAAAAAACTATAAGTGATCATTTCCACATCTATTTTATATTCTCACTAGCTATTTCTCCGAATCCAAAACTCTCCAAACAAATCTAGTTTTTCTCAAACGTGTAATTGGAATGCACGTCAATATATTAAAAGAAAAGAATATTTGTTACGCAATGCAATCAGCCCAAACAAACCTTGTCGCACACTATGCTGCTGGATGGATCACGCAAATGCACCTTAGTGGTAGTGGAGTAGATAAGCAGCCAACTATCAAACCGCAACGTGCTCAATGCTAACGACGTGCTAGCCTATGGCTTATTTTACCTTTTAGCTCTAATAAAAATAAAAAAATATATCTAACTGCTTCAGCAGACACACCTGCTTGTTGTCCTGCTGTGGCTTGCGTTAGATTTGTAATAATATAGTTTATTATATGGTTGATTGATTAATTAAATTATTAGCAGTCCCTTAAAAAATAATGTAGCAGTACTTGTGTAGTACGGACTATGTATATATTTTGATGTCAGTGTATGCATGTATGGGAGTTGAAAGAAGCTTAGATTTTTAAAATGAAGTCGTCATACTGTGTAAATCATGTTGTATTACCGTAACCACTTGCCGTTGCCTCGGGATATAAGTTTACTTTAGATCCCTCAATTTATCATTGAATCTGAAATCCGTCCTGAACCGTACTACCAGATATGACGTGTCCATCAACTTTCAAAACCAATACAAATAAGATTCCAAAGCGGTTTCAACGGTAGTTTCGGCTGACGTAGTGCTAAACCGGGTCCCCTTCTCCGCCAACCTTGTGGCTCCTCGGCATGGAGAAGGATGGCGGTCCATGGGTGGCTGTTGGATGCCGGGAAGGAGAAGAAGCAAGAAAGGAGAAAAGAGAAAGAAAATAAAAGGAAGGCGATACCCACTGCATTTTTTTATTTTTAATCAGACACTCACTGACATGTCGACCCCATGGTTTTTCTTGACTTTAAGTGCCATGCCAATGTCATGTAGGCGCCACATCAGCCGAACCACCATATTGGGATCTTATTTGTATTGGTTTTGAAAGTCTAGGGATGCGCCATATGTATTGCGGTTAGGTATAAATTTTAGACTCGACGACAAATTAAGGGATCCAATGTAAACTTATTTCTTGTCTTGGTGAACTACTGGGCCAAGATACCCAGTCTGACCAAAAGGCCCATTTACAGGTCGGCCTGCCTTGTCTCGCTGCGTTGCAATTGAATACGGCCCAACATGGAGGCCATTACTGGCAGGCCTGCTCGCGGTTCAGCAAAACGGCCCATTAAATACTCGGCCCAATTAATCTTGGTGAGTTCGAGGCTATCCCATTCCGGCCCAAACTGCTGGTGAATTGCTCCTGGGAATACGGCCCAAATTGTTCGGCCGCGCTTAGGGCCGTCGGATCAAGACGGATGGCCTGCGATGCTCCACGTAGTCGACCAGCCATCCTCCGCCCTCGTCGCCGTTTCCGCCACCGTTCCCGGCGAGCTCCGCCGCCTCCTTCGCCGACGATCTGGTCTTCCATGGCCAGCAAGGGAAATTCTGTAGATCTCAGGATCTCTCAACCCCCCCTCGAATTCGTCCAACCCGAGTGGAACCGCTCGCTGAGAGGAGAGATCAAGAGGTTGGTGGTGGTGCTCTGCTCGGCGGCGATGGTATCCTCCTCCTCCCCAACCTGCTTGGTCCACGCCGCCTCCGATCGATTCCGCGGAGATATCTATGGGCTTTCCTCTCGCCTCCCCGCGCCGCCACGGCAGCGCACACTAGGTCATCAACGGGCGGATCGCTGGGCGGGATCAGCCGCCCCCATCGATCTCGCCATGGCGGCGAGGCGAGTCGTCAGCACCCTCACTACGCTGCGCTGCGCCACCCACTTCTCGTCTGACGAATCTGCCGTCATCGGTTGGGATTGGGATTTGGTAGTGCGATTGTTGGTGTTCGTTTATGTTCAGGGTGTGCCATTTCTTCAGTCCTTCGATACATGGAAGTTCATGTGTGCCAATGAATGTACTGTTAACAGTTTTGCTGCAGGTCCAATACATGTTCTCTACCACGATGCCGCAATTCGTGTGGATGGTGATTAAGGGCAATGCTGAATTGCTGATGCATTTCTTGTTTGAATTTCAGAAGGCGATTGGAGCCGGTGATCATTTGCTTGGGGTTTTACGTGAATAAGATGGGCCAATGTGCTTTGGATAACGCCCTTCAGACTCAGACTCTTCAGTGGTAAGGACATTGGTTCAAACCTATCTAATGTTTTGTAATTGATAGAACTGTCCGGTTTGACAATAGATTTCAAGCATTAGCTCAAATATTTATATTTCTGTAGATTTCTGTAGATTACATTGATCTAGCTGGCTAATGATTTGCTCTTGCATTTCTTGTCCTTGTTTGCAACTTGCATCCTGATTATTAATTTGTCCTTGGTGAAGTCTTAAGTGATGATCGTACTGTTAAAAGTCAAAAACTATATGCTCATGGATCTTCCCGACTGTGCCACCACTCCACGGTAGTGGCACAAAAACACGAGTTATCATCAATCAAAACACCTAGTGCAACTGAGTTAGTCTGCAAAGCCATGCGCATACATGTGTTCCTTTGGTTTGATGAAGTAATGGAGTAATCGAAGTGTTGAATGTGATGAACATCTCTCTGTTTAGGTCTCTTGTCAGAATGAAGATCTGTTTTTTCCCCAGCAAACCAACACCTAAATGGTGCTGTGTGCCAACTGCCGTAAGGCTCATCCAGTGCTCGTCTTTTTTGTTACACACACTATTTCATGGTCAACAAAAACCACAACAACAACCAGCTCTCTTGCAGACGTTGTTCCCAGAGAAGATTATTTTGGCTCTTCTTCTACATAGGAGTAGTACGTTGCAGGCTTGCAGCTGATGTCTCTTCTTCTTTGATGGTTACAGGTCAAAAGCTATTTGTCATTTCTCTGGCTTATTCACAGAAAGCATTCTTCCAACTACTGCTGCAATGCTGCTGCTACTCCACTACAAACAAAACTAGGGAAAAAAGAAGCAAGGATGCATCATCAGATTGTGTGCCATGATCCAAGCCGAAGCTCCATCGATCCCTACACGAAGCAGCAGCAACAAACTTGTAGCACACCACTAAACTAAACTCTGATGACTGACAAAGTGAAATCGGCGCATCAAAGAACGAGACACACAGGTAAGCACCACATACCCCCTTTGACCGATCTTGCCTCAGCTACAAAAGACATGCTCGCTTGGATCAAATCTACAAAAAAAAATGCAACTTCAATCTCTCTTGGATCAAATCATCAAAAGACATGCTCGCTTCTTTCAAGAAAGAAAGGGAAAGGAATCTGGTGATGGTCTCCTTTCCCCTTTTTTTTCACCCTTTTCTAGAATAAAGGGAATGTTGGTTTTGAACAAGATGATCCCTAGGAAGGACAGTTTAGGAGGTAAAGAATATGCTACTCATAGCAATGACATTGAGTAAGATAGAATGCTCAATGTATAGAAACTGAAACACAACGCAAAGTTCTATAGGTTAGGTGCAGAGTAAGTAAGCCACAGCATCATGCCATTAAAATGTGCCAATACATAAGGTTACCGCTCCATCCAAACAATGAGTAGATGAGTACTAGAGTAGTACTATTGTATAGTAATACCTTCGTGTTGTACAATATTAATAGTAGTTGGTTTGAACAAATTAGAAGATGTCCTGAAAATTCAGGATTAGTCCCCATTGAGTGCTCAAAGACTTTGTCATGACTATATAATCTCGAGTACTCGTAGAAAATAGAGTTTGTAGACTAAAGTAAAGTGGTTTAGTCATCTAATTTGGGTCCACAATATAAACAATAATATTAGTTCACTCACATATTCAACTCCAGGAATTTTTGAAGCAAGAGATATATCTAGCTAAAAAAAACTTGAAGTTGGAGTTGCCAGTCCATAGAGAGAACAAATTTGTGAATCACTGCCTCTTATATATAGTTAAGGTCTCCTTTGGAGCGTATGATTTTCGAAGGAATTTCATAGGAACTGAACTGTTTTCTACCAAGAACCCATAAAAATCCTGCTTTTTAAAGGATTCCCAAACCTGTTTGGAACATGAGAACTGAACCATTTCAAGCGAAACCCGCTCCAAAACCGGTATAGCATACCCATTCCTTAGGCCCACGACACTGACAGCCGCAGCTTATCAACCAAACCCTCTAGTACTACTGTACCTGTTCTTCACTAACGGTAATATAAGCATTGCAATCAAACAGCAACATCTAAGCAGCCGAAGCAGAGGAAGAAGACAGCAGCAACAGCAGCAGCAGCAGTTCTTCGGTTCTTCCTCTGTTCCTCTGCAGCTCACTCGGATTCTCTCTCTCTCCTCTGCAAAGCCTGCAACGCCTGCTGCTGCTGCTGCAGTTTGGTTTCTCTCTCCATCTGCATCCTGCAGCTTCTGTCCTTTCTCCCCAACCTCTTTTGTCCGTTGCATTTCACCTCCATTAATCCAAGCACAGAGAGAGGAGATGCATCCGTCACGCTCACTGCACGCCAAGCCGCCAAGAAGCCACGGTCACCACGCGCGCTCGCGCTCCCAGCTGCCCACCGCCATTTCTGCGCCCAACCAAGATTTCCAGTTCCAGTTCCAGCTTCTCCCCAAGGTGTTCCAGTTCCACATGGACGTCGGCGGCGGCGGCGGCGGTGGTGGTGAAGGGAAGTCGTCGGAGAAGAAGGTTCTTGCTCAGCTGGAGCAGGTGAGGCTCAGCATTGCGTCGAGCGAGGACGAGGAGGACGGGGACGCGCCGCCCAGGAGCTCCTTCTCCGGGGCGAGCCACCCGCCGGAGCCGGTGGATGAGATGGATACGGTGTTCGTTGCCGTGGATGGCCGGGACAAGGCGGCCAAGCCGGTGATCATGTGGGACGCGTCGCCGCCGCAGAGCGGCGCGGCGAGCCCGCACAGCAGCATCGACAGCTCCGGCGCGGCGGCCACGGTGACGAGCATCGCGCCCAGCTGCACCGTCACCAGCCTCAGCGCCAAGACCAGCGTCAGCAGCAGCGCGGCCAGCGACGGCAGCGGGTGGAGCAACAGCACGGCCGGCGCCGGCAGCGCCGCCGGCGGAGGCTTCGGCGGGAAGCCGCACAAGGGGGGCGACCCGAGGTGGAAGGCGATCCTCGCGGCGCGAGCCCGGGACGGGCCGCTCGCCATGGGCAACTTCCGCCTCCTCCGGCGCCTCGGGTGCGGCGACATCGGGACGGTGTACCTGTCCGAGCTCAGCAACGTCGCCGTCGGCGGCGGCGGCGGCGCGGCGAGGGCGTGGTTCGCCATGAAGGTGATGGACAAGGCGTCGCTGGAGAGCCGGCGGAAGCTGAGCCGGGCGCAGACGGAGCGGGAGATCCTCCAGCTGCTCGACCACCCCTTCCTGCCCACCCTGTACGCGCACTTCGAGACCGACAGGTTCGCCTGCCTCGTCATGGAGTTCTGCCCCGGCGGCGACCTCCATGCTCTCCGGCAGCGCCAGCCCGGCAAGCACTTCCCCGAGCACGCGGCGAGGTAATTTTCACTCCACTTTAATTCCATCTCTTGCTCTAGGCTCCTAATCTTGATAGGATTAGCATTCAGCAAGAAACCATACTCTGTTTAAAGTGACAAGATCAGGTATGGCAGTTCAGAGCTGTCACTGGAGAAATCTTTCAGTATTGCAGAAATTTTCTTCTCTAAAAAATTAATCTTGCCAAGCCTGAAGCTGGAACTGATGCATGATTGACACATTAACAAAATGGCTTAGTTTTTTTTTTCAGCATTTCAATTGACATTAGTGTATTAATAGTATAGTGAATGGATTATGCTCCGACTTCTCGAGTGGGGCATTTTGCCTGTCTGCTGCTTTTTCTATGTTGTGGAACAGGATATCTAAAATTAACAAATCTAGCAGACCACAAAGCATGTGTCAGTTGTCATGCTAAAGGTTGATAGTAGCATTTTCCCCACTAACCCATTTTGTGTTCGAATTAGGTATCTCAAACATAGACATCTTTTCCGATCTGTCCCTGAATTAACAAACATGATTATCCTACTTGTTTTTCCCAATATTTCTGATGTATCATGTAATCTTCTTCATGACGTTTGTTTGATCCGCCATATTCTTCTCTTCATCAGCTCATCTTAAACTGAAGCATACGATTTATTCTTTTCTTTTCCGGGGCTTTGCAGGTTCTACGCCGCGGAGGTGCTCCTCGCGCTGGAGTATCTCCACATGCTCGGAGTGGTGTACCGAGACCTCAAGCCGGAGAACGTCCTGGTGAGGGACGACGGCCACATCATGCTCTCCGACTTCGACCTCTCGCTCCGCTGCGCCGTCTCGCCGACGCTGGTGATGTCGTCATCCCTGGGCTCCGATCCCAAGAGGGGCAACAATGCGCAGTCGTGCGCCGCCCAGCCAGCCGCCTGCATCCAGCCGACGTGCTTCATGCCCAAGCTGTTCGGCAAGAAACCCAAGAGCAGCCAGCCGAGGCAGAGGTATCATCATCAGCAGCAGCAGCAGCTGGCCGCCGCGGCGTTGCCGGAGGTGGTGGTGGAGCCGACGGGGGCGCGGTCGATGTCGTTCGTGGGGACGCACGAGTACCTGGCGCCGGAGATCATCAAGGGGGAAGGGCACGGCAGCGCGGTGGACTGGTGGACGTTCGGGGTGTTCCTGCACGAGCTCATGTACGGCAGGACGCCGTTCAAGGGGCAGACGAACCGGGCCACGCTGTTCAACGTCGTCGGCCAGCAGCTCCGGTTCCCGGACCACCCGCCGACGAGCAACGCCGGCAGGGACCTCATCAGGGGGCTGCTCGCCAAGGAGCCGCAGGGGCGGCTCGGCGTGAAGCGCGGCGCGGCGGAGATCAAGCAGCACCCCTTCTTCGACGGCGTCAACTGGGCGCTCATCCGGTGCAGCACCCCGCCCGGCGTGCCCAGGGCTGTCGAGCCCGTCGCCGTCGCCGCGGCGGTGCCGGCGACGGTGATGTCCAAGCCGCCGCCGGTGGACACCGTCGAGATGGCAATCCACAGCAATTGCAACAGCACCAACAGCAGCAAAAGAATGGCAGGGCCTCCAGAGGTAGAGTCTGGAGGCAAGTACCTAGACTTTGAGTTCTTCTAGCAAGGTGAATGCAAAGATCTGCCAAATATTGCATCAGGCAGCTGAGAAAATATGAAGTTTTTAACCATATACTTGTTTTAGTTTGAGTTGTAACTGTAGTCACTAGTCAGTGAGTCCCATACTTTCAACATTTGGGCAAAAGGCATTATCTGAATCTGACCAACCAGTTGTACTACTGTGTTTTCCCCTCTGCTGTTGCAATTCTATCACAGATGAACTAGTTAGCACTTAGCACCTATAAATACTCCAATAGTAGGCTTAATGGAGTAGCAAAAAGTTTCCATGTACAGCATGTTAGTGACATGCATAATCACACATTAGTTCTTGCCATGATTATATACAAAAATGTTACTATCTTTTACAAGAGCAAGCATAGATGTTCTTTTACAAGAGCAAGCATAGATGTGGGAAGCATTGCGTATCAAAATGTGAATGCCCAGAGACACATAAGGGCAATAGATTGTGAAGAACAAGAGAAGGAATTATGGAGACACTTCACAAGTCATCACAGCATTAGTAGTACATCATTAGTTAGTAAGCATTAGTAACTCTAGATTAGTGGGTTACAGGACGAGGTTATGGGAGGCGGCGGCGGCGGCGGCGGCGAGGCCGACGCCGGCGGGAGGGTTGCGGTGGCGGGAGAGGGTGCGCAGCTGCGCGCGCTGGCACTCGAGGTTGGAGACGAGATCCACCCTCTCCTCCCGCGGCAGCCGCACGCGCACCGCCCTCGGGAACTCCACGAACCCCTTGATCCCCCTCGCGATGTGCGGGTTCTCGCCGCCGCCGGCGACCTCTCGCCGGTGCTGCAGCTGAGGCTGGCCGCCGCTCGTCGCCTGGCTGATCTGCTGGCTCGTGGGGCTTGACTTGCTGGTGGTCGTCGGACTGCCGCCGCCGCCGCCGCCGCCGCCGCCGCCGCCGCTGCTGTTGTCGTCGTCGGCGATGGCGGTGGCGGCGGAGGCGGCGGCGATCTCCCGCAGCGCCTCCTCCATGGCGGCCTTGGCGTCGGCGAGCTTCATCTGGACGCGCTCCTCCCGCCAGAGCTCGGCGACGCGCAGCATCCGGCGCTCGTCGTCGACCTCCTCCAGCGCGCGCTCCACCTCCGCGCGCATCTCGCCCACCTCCCCGCGCATCCTCCTGCACTCCGCCTCCGCCGCCCCGCGCCGCCGCCTCTCCTCCTCCAGCTCCACGGCGAGCACCTCGCTCACCGCCTCCGCCTTCCGCCGCATCCGCCGCTCCACCTCCAGCTCCACCCTCAGCTCCCTCACCTCCACCTCCACCGCCGCCGCCGCCCCGCCGCCACCGCAGCGATACCACTCCACCATGTCATCCTCCACCTCCACCTCCATGCCGATCATAGGATGCCGAGACGAAGCGCTCGAGGAGGCGTGGCGGCGCGGCAACAAGTAGGGAGGGCTTGTGATCGACAAAGCTAGTGGTAGTGCGCCATGATTGGGGCGCGGAGGGGGAAGATTCCTGGGGCTTGTCTCCGCCACCGCCACCACCACCACCACCACCACTTTGATTTCTCACCTACGCCATGGAGCTTTTTGGCGAGGTCGGGATGGAATATTTTAGTCGGCATGAGTGGCTCCAGCCTCCACCGCGTGGCCGGCATGGTCGCCGGCTTTGTGAGCTGTAAAAGCGACGAGCTAGCTAGCCCTAAGCCCTAGCCCGGCGGCGGCCGGACGAGGAGGGAGATGGAGATGGTCAAGTCGTCGATCACATGCGCGGATCCCGATTCCGATGCCGCCATGATGGCGGGCTCATGCTCCATCTCTCCTGTCCTGCTATTGCAACGCCGCCATGAATGATTCTTGAAACTTTGCCAAATTGCAATGCATTGAACGATCGTTAATTAGGCCGTGTTTAGTTGTTTTGGCCAAAATTTTTTTTTACTCACAGGGACACATATTTAAGAGAAAATCCCCTATATATCCATGAAAGTTCACCTAATCTCTTCTATACCCCTGAATTTTGCTTAATCCCTTACATACCCCTGAATTTTAGTTTGGATCCCTTCCATATCCTTTCCGCTAGTTGACCGTTAAATTCTTTTGAAAAAGTCCATTTTGACCTTTGCTATAAAGAAACATAATGAATTAATGAAGTATATTGTTGGAATGTAAAAATTTATTGGATAAGACTATTATATTTATGAATATGTGATGCACTATATTATTGGTAACAAATTTACTTTTACATATGATATAAAAAGTAAAAGTTCTTTTATGTAGCATATGTGTTTTCATAGTAATACAACAGATTTGTTTATTACTCCAGAACACATATGATAAAAAAAATCTTTTAATAACTAATAAATTAATATTAATTTTTTATGTCATATCTAAAAGTATATTTATCGCAAATAATATGGTGCATAACTATCTCATAAACATAATAGTCTCATATAACAAATTTATATGCTCCAACAATATACTATGTTAATTTATATGCTTCTTTATACCAAAGGGCAAAATGGACTTTTTCATAAGAATTTAACGGTCAACTAACGGAAAGGGCATGGAAGGGATACAAACTAAAATTCAGGGGTATGTAAGGAATTGAGCAAAATTCACAGGTACAGAAGGGATTAGGTGAACTTTCAATGATACACAGGGGATTTTCTCCATATTTAAAGGATTAAACTTAGACTAATAACAAAACATATTCCGCATGTAAACTGCGAGATGAATCTATTAATCCTAATTAATCCGTCATTATCAAATGTTTATTATATCATCACATTGTTAAATAATGGTGTAATTAGACTCAAAAGATTCGTCTCGTAATTTATAGTCGGACTGTGCAATTGGTTTTTTTCGTCCACATTTGATGCTCCATATATGTGTCTAAATATTTAATGTGACGGAAAAGTTAGAAATTCGAAGAAAAAAAGTTGGAATCTAAACATGACCTAATTAATTAATTCGGAATTGATTTTCTGCTGCAATTGTGCAGGCAATTACTCCATGAATTGATTTTTGTGTGTTGCTGCTCGATGGATGGATCGATCTGTTCTTTCGTGCGTGGATCGATGTGATTTGTCAGGATTGCGTGGTACGCGAGGTCGTAGTAAATGGCTTTCACTGACGCTTTCGTAACGGGCACTGGATGAATCGCCATGAATCAGCAACATCCGTGATCTGATGCCAATCAATGCTGCTGCCTGTACGAGTTGCTGGCTTGCTGCAGTGCAGTGAAATGCAAAACCCGGTGGACTTTTTGACAGGCCAAACTGGGCCGGAAGAAAGGCCCATTATAATGAGCTACGGATTTGGGCCATTTGGTCCGGCCCATTAATACTAGGCCTGTATAGATACATACACTGCCCATCAATACTTTCGTTGGAGCGTGTTTTATTTTGGGCCTTTTATATCATTTTTGGTTGTGGTTCCAAAACTTGAAATTAAAGAGGGCAGCGACCGCCGAACCAATGCTTTCATGGCGCCGCCGGTGCCAGCGAGGCCTCCGCCGCTTCCCTCGTCGGCGACGACCGGCCTCGTGCACTCGTTGGTACGTCACCGCTTGCTCTCTCGATCATACTTGCATACTGGTCCATGGCACGCATGGCGCGTCGCTTTCTATCTCTACCTAGAGATACTGGTACTTGGATCCTATATTTATAATTTCACCGCATTATGTTTGTTGTAAACCAATGCGCCTATTAGTGGATCATCGGATCCGTTCCCCGTCCCTTGTACAGCAGTAGAGACATGAGAAGATGTAGAACACTTGTGGCGCTTTTCTTTATCATTAAGAACATTACAGAAGTAGACAATGTACACATGTGTGGGATGAAGTCCTCTATTCATCATAGATCTAATCTCAAATACAAGCCCGTCATAGATGTCTCATACTGCCCCTCTATATACAAGGGTCTTAGGAGGGATATATTTTATCTCTACTCCGATTTGGATTGGTCAAAAAAAACTTATCTCCTAGAAATTTGTTTCACAATAGTGTTCACTTTCTTGTATTTGGATCCTACTTAGTTCCACACTGCATGCCATACCTCGAGGCAGGCGGGTTTCTTTAACAATGCAGAACACTGATATCCTTTTTATATATTTCGATAAGATGTTGTATGGAAATCATATGCATAGATTTGCCTAAAAATTTACTATTATGGACTCATGATATTATGAATTTCTTTCTTTTTTCTAATGTTTTGCAACCAGAATTAGCAATCAAAGCCTCATTTTGAAGACCTTATTGCTCACAGAAATGATCGAGTGAGCATGCATCATCATTGGTTTTGTCATGCACATGGCCATAGCCCATAGGCGTAGAGCCCATCACAAGCCACACCACATCATTAGCTCTGTTCCATATAGAACATCATCATACAATGCATGACCAGAGTAAAAAAAAAGGAAAAAAAAAACTGTGATCTTGCCTGCCACTATCATGTCTCTTCCAAGTTCTTATCCTCTCTCGTGTAACAATAGAAGCACCCACTTATAGGTGCCATGGTATTGTCTGGTCCAAAACACCCAATTAACACCTACACTTGCAAAAGGTTCAGCTACATACAAAACCAGACACACTTCTTTATCACCAGATTCTCTATCCAGCATGAGAGTGTGTTTTTTGGACCCTTGCCCTAGCCCACAAATCATCTCACAACTTGGGCATGAAACAGCAGTGGGGACCCAACCAGAGTTCACAAAATTGATCGGTTTTCATGAAATCGTCAGCGGTCATTTTGTGGAAACCGATCGGTTTTAGTTGTTTTTTTCTAGCATTAACTGAAAGTCATCGGTTTTTTTATCAGTTTTCGTAAACCAAGTTTTTTTATCGGTTTTTTCATAAACCAGTGAGGAGCAGTTTTTGTTTGCAAAAAAGAAAAGGTGGCACATGTTGATACCATATGCCCCAAGAATTCTCTCCATGCTTCCAGCCATCAAATCAAGCAATGTGGTACTAGTATCATGCATATGCCATGGAGATGAATGCCACAACCACTTTTTCATGCCCTTTCACAAGAAAGAAAGGGAGGAGAGTAGTTGCCCTTTGCAAACCAACAGCCTTGTCATGCATGATGCAGCTGTGTCCAACAACCAGCATAGGTCCAAATTGCCAGCCTTGCTGCTATTCATCTCCCAGCCAGCCAAGCCACCATGTTGTTGAAGAGGGGGGCAACTAGTTATCACTGATCAGATATTCAGATATATTCAGATATGCCATGCAATGCAAGCTATGGCAGACAAGAGGGGCATGCATGAGTAGTGACACAGCATTTGACTAATCCCTTCGCGGCTAAGTTACAGCAACTTTAAAAGGCAGGTCCTTTTTACAGTTGTTGCAGACTTGCTGGCTTGATGCAGGTAGGAAAGGAAGAACAGACGAAACTTTAGAACGAAATGCATGTGCAAAAGCAGATATGATTATGTGTCGTTTCAGACAAACAACAAAAAGAGGCTGTGGTGAGTTGTGAGCATCAGAGCATTGGCCAAAACTCCAGAAGTCTACAATGACGTTGCTAGATCATGTTTTAGTTAATCTTGGACAATGCAGCACGACATTAATTACATGGGGGCCAAAATGGGACATCAAAGATTCAAGACGAATGTCCTCCATCCAGACAGTCAGACAGCACAAAGATGCAGGGACAGCTCCAAGTCTCCAACCACTGGAAACATAGCTAATTCAGTTCAGAATTCTGACATTTTTTTCCCAGAAGAACAAATGGTTAGTTACTATCTTCCATGGGAGAAGTGCAAGCATAACTCGCCGTTAGATTTGCTAGGTGAAGTGACCACAGCATCTGTACAATGTAATCTTCCCTTGCACTTCACAGGACAAGCAAAAGAACATCAACAATCCTGAGTAAAATCATTTATCTACAACCAAAATGACCAACTCCCAACAAGGCAAAACATCAAGGGAGCCTTCTCCCCCATATTCTCATCACTAATTTTAGCTATATATATTGCATTTTCCCTATATAAATTACTGAACCACCCAAAAAGACTTAACGAACGGTTTCTTGGAAAGTCTGGCAGCGCAAGCTTCTACCGCACCGATCCAGCTCGCCTGCAGACAACGTCAAGGGCTTCAACAACTGTTCCTGAGAAACCAGCTATGGCTTGGAACATTCCTGGCAGGCCTGTTTGGATGTTGTTCAGTGTCATTGATCTAGTTACCTCCACTGCCTTAGCATGCCTTGTCATTTCGTCCTCCACCTTCCGCCGACATTGGGCAATCTCGGTTTTCTTCTCTGCAAGAGGATCGCGGGCATCGAACGAATGGCTTTCAATGCCATCGCGCCCACTGCCAGGAAGGCCAAGGCCAACCATTGAATAGGATTGGTAGTACTTCTTCTCAATGGCTCGAAGTGAGTTGGTCTTCTTTTCCAGCTCCTTTGAATATGTCTCTGTCCGCTTTTTTATTTTCATCTCCTCTGCCTGCTTAGTGTAGATGACATGGACAACATTCACGAAGCTCTTGATAGCCTCCGAAGCCGAAGCATCTGGAAGCCGGTCCAGTGCTTGCTTCCACTCATCACAGAAGGTGGTGAGTTCACGAGAGATCAGCGAGGTGTAAGCCTCTTGTGGGATATTACTGTCCACTTGGAAGAGTGTGAGCTTCAGCCAGCCATAGAGGGCACGTATATAATCACGTTGATACTTGATGAGACGGTTGAAGTTTGAGTGCCATGCTGAGACAGCAGCCTCAAGATCACGGGTGGCAAGCCGGTGAAGATCAGATGTTGACTCAGCCATGGAATTGTCTACCAGACCACGGACTTGCTGAACAATTTCATTCTGGATCTCATGGAAATGGTTCATTGATCTCCACATGCTCAACAGCCTGCATATCAATATTCAGATACAATTTAAATACTTGCACACAATGTCGCAAAATCTGGTATCATAGATGTCAGAACAGGGAACAAGTCTTACGCGAAGCAAAGCTCGACAAGCTGTGGTGCAAGCTCATTGTCACGCACCCTGACAATGGCTGAGGATGTGGTAGTTGCGGCCTGTGAAGTCACGATGATCAACGATTGCAGCTTGTTTATGGAGGCCTTGGTCTTATCCAGCTTGGTACTATCCCTCCCTCTGTACTCCAGGCTCTGCAGAGTAGAAAGCTTCTTCTCGTGCTCAATCTTAACGCTCTCTCTAGCCTGAAGCAGTAAAAAGTTAATACATATGGGAATAGTTTCAATAAAGTTTCATAAACTGCTTAGAGAATAGAAGCATTTAGTAGACACCGGACAGTAAGAATCCATTATGTTCTAGATTGCAGAAATAAAAAGAACATTGGTTAGTCTCACTCAATTATCGAATAGATATGGTATAAGTCTCATGCCTACCAAGGGTAATGCCCCTAAAGGCCTAAACATCTCTGGACTCTGGTGCTTTAGACATAGATACGCTAAATCTACCTTTGGCATTATGAGGTATATTTATGTGCAGTAAAGACAATTTCTTGAGGATCTAAACCTTCACCCACAAAGCCACAAAGAATCTCAAAGGACAGGAGTAGTTTAGATATAAAAAGAGCATAAAGGAAGGGTATATGAAGGTGTGGTTGAGAGATCAATGGCCATGTATTGTGCCTGCTTCCTTTACTGAAAGTAGTGAAAAATTATCAACCAAATGCTACAGCTGTTTCAGAATCCAGGGTAGGCAAGTGCAGGACCTCTGTAAAGACGCTTTATGCAATAGAATCAGATTCTTCTACCACATTTGCTGAACAAAAGGCGGGCTGCTCAAAACACCAATTTCAAATGAGGTGAAGCTTCACCTAATCGATTAGAAGCTACACCAGAAGTGTTAAAGTTAGCCTCAATTCATCCTTGATTATTTGACTGCTAGGTAGGCCTATGCTGCAATGCCAAGTGCAACAGTTCATGCATTCTATTCTAGCATCCAACAAGGGTGGCTACTAGAAGATTACACCTCATTAAACTTGCATTGCTGCTAAAGTTGTGCAGTGACCTAAATTATCGGTTAGTCCACTACTATGCTCTAGCAAATATATATAGCTGGATAATTTTCAAGTGGAGCCAAGTGAATAGTTTGAAGATGCTTCACCGACAACGAATGATTGAGGCGTGCAACAAAAAATGTCACAGCAAACAAACACCTCAATTTTAGTGGTGTGCTCATCTATTAAGTATAACCACTAACCAGCAGTCAAGAATGGCATTGTAATCAAGCGTCGATGAGCAGAATTACCTTGACCTCCTGATAGAGCTTTTTCTCCCAGGCCAAAAGACGCTCCAGTGTCGACCCATGGCTCTTCCCTTCCATTGACTCCATCTCTAACGCATTGGTGTCCAACTTGTAGCGAACAGCCAATGGTGGCTTTGAAGTCCATGTCGACGACAGCGACGATAGCAAGCTGTTCGAGTGGTACACCGTCTCTGCAAAAGAAGAAGTCAAATTAAGTGAAATTGTTAAGCAATTGCTTGCGTTTTTTCACTAAAAATGTACATTGCCACACCAATTCAAACCACATTATAGTTTTTGTTCAAGCATAATATGTCTGCTATGAATCTCTGATTACTTTTGAGCTGCCGGAAGTTGCGGTCCAGCTGCGCGCGGCTAGCCTCCAGGAGCTCCGAGACGCCATTGCCGGCCTCGGCCGCCTTGACAAAGTACTCCTCGATGGCGGCCACGATCTCCGCCAGCGTGCGGTGGCGGATCACCATCCGCATCTCGGCGGCCGCCGTGACCGTGGAGGAGGAGTCCCCGGCCTCCGACCTCTCGTCCCTCCTCCTCAGCGGCAGTGGCAGCGGCGCGGCGGCGTACTCCGACGGCGCCGTGCCGCCGTACTCCGATCTGGCCGCGAAGCCGCACTCCGATCTGTTCCCCATTTCCCCCTCCTCCGATCTGGTCTCCGAGGTGGTCGTCGACGCGTAGTGGTCGTCGTCGTCCTCCCATCCGCCGCAATGCATCTCCTCCTCCCTCTCGTCGTCGTCGTCGTCGACCTCGTCCTCTTCCTTGAGGTGGTGGGGGTGGAGGTAGCCCCGGGCCTTCTCCTCCTCCTCGAGCTCGCGGAGGCGGTTGGCCTCCTCGAGGTCGGCCTTGCGGCGGTCGAAGAACTCGGAGTCCGGCGGCGACGGCGGGTAGAAGTTCTCCCAGTCCCACGCCGACGACGACGACGGCGTCCCCACCACCGGCTTCCGGAACGACGACCGCGCCGGGCTGGCGACGCTGGAGTCGGACAGGATGTGCGGCACCTTGAGGCGACGCGGCCCGCCGCGGGGAGCCCTCACCGCCACGGGAGGAGGCGGCTGATGCGACTGCGTGGGCGGTGGCGGCGGCGGCGCCTGCTGGTGCTTGGGGAGCAGCGGCGTCGGTGGCGGGAGCGAGGACGACGCCGTGGATGACGGCGGCGGCGGCGTCGGCGTCGGCGCCAGCGCGGGCGCGGCCGTGGTGAGGAGCACCGGCGCGGTGTGGTGCGACACGGCGAGCGACGGGTGGCCCTGCGCGAAGCGGGAGAGCGCGGCGGCGGTGAGGCGGAGGGAGCGGAGGTAGTCGGCGTGCGCCGACGCCAGCTGCTGCCGCGACGCCACCGCCTCCTTCATGTGCCGCCGCCGCTCCTTGCACCGCCGCACCGTGTCCTCCTGCTCCACCTTCGACGCCGTGCACCCCATCGCCCCCCACCCGCGACGCGAGCGCGCGCGCGCGCTTCCCCTCCTCTCCGATTCGATCTAACGCCCTCTCCGATTCGCCGTCGTCTCCCTCCTCGCTGCGGCGAGAGAGAGAGAGAGGAGTTGGCTGCTCTACTCGAGTGGGAGGAGTGAGCTGCAGCTGCTGCTTCGCTTTGCTTTGCTCTCTATTCTCGCTTCAGTTGTGTGTGGTTTTTGGTTTTATTTTTTTTTTCTCGCCCTTTCGCTTTCGTGTTTCCTGGCCCGGTAGCCGTGTGGGGGGTGGGGGCCATGGCGAGTAATTTTGATTTTTTTTTTTGAAGGTTGTGACTACACAGTTTGAGGTAAACTGGTTTTTGAAGCCTTTTTGTTTTTTTGGGAGGTTCTTGAAGCTTTTTTTTAGCTAAAAAAGGTTTTTGAAGCCTTTTTAGCTGCTTCGCTCACCATGAAACACCACAAATGTGCGATCATAACTGTTTTTTTTCTCTATCAAACTTATGACACAACATGTTTTCCCTTTTTGCTTTTAAAAGGATATCTTATATAATAGACATATCACAGGGAAGGTTTTATTGGTGCTTTTCAGCTTGTCAAACATTGCGTTGTAAGAGGCTTTCTGTTTAACCCGTTATGTATGTTAGGCATTGTTTTTTCCAACTTATTTACTGGAATATTAAAACTGATTATTTTGCTTCGTGATTAAAAGGAACATGTTTTCTTAAGAAAAAGCATTTTCTACTGTTTAGATAACTTGTTTTGGTTATTTGTTAAGTATTATCTAAAAAAAGTTATTTGTTAAGTTTATTTCATAAAATATGCATTTACATTTATAATCAAGTGGATGTTTGCAATAATAATCTGCTTAATAATCTAAATCAAACATGTGATTTTTTTCTGAAGTTTTCTACCAAGTTTCCTCTAAGCAATCCCAACAGTTATTATCAGATCTAGTGGCTCTGACGAACGGAGAGGAACCAACGGTACATACTTGCTCATCAGAATTGGTCCAACCCAATACAGTGAACAATAATGAAGGACTACTACGTTGCACACTGTCAGAACACAACATCGTCAGAGAAAAAGGCTCAACTTGGAGAAAGATGAGTCCAAAAGACACCCTCTGCTCTAACCACCATCACAAACGTGATTTAACCGGTAAAGAAAAGATCAAATGAGTAAATTAACAGAGAGATCAAAGTGATCAACTTACTTAATTACCGGCATCTAATGATACCCCTGCCATTGCTAATCTCCTCCATTTGATTACTGCCATTAGTACACCCGGTGTTTTTTCTCGCCTACTTTTATGCAGTTGCAGGTAGGATTATTCCAGGAAAACGCCGTGCTTAACGTGTTAACGACGGTGGCTTCTTCTGAAGAAGAAGGCTGAGCAAGTGCAGTGCAGTGCAGTACTCTGCAGTGGCCACACTTCGAAGCACGATCTTGGTCGGTTCCCTTCTTTAATCGCCGTGTCGGCGCCTTTCACTGTTTATTAACGCACGATGCCGTTAACTTTTCATATAACACAACCATTCATTTTATTTAAAAATTTAATAAAAAAAGTGTAAAATAATATGTTGATGTTGTAGTTCCTTTGATGATAAAATAAATCACAGCAAAATAAATAATATCTACTTTTTAATAAAATAAATGATCAAACATAACGTTAAATGTTAACGGTGCCATAATACATTATGAAAAGAGAGGGAGTATTAGTTAGCACCAGTGAAAAACTGTAACTTAGCTAGCCTTTGCTAATTACGATGGGCCGTGCAGTATAATCCGTGTGTTTCAAGTCAACATTGGCTTAGGTGAGTCCTAATTACTTAATTAGGGATCCAAGTATATTATTAACTGACCATGTAGGACTATGCGGCATCCCTGTCCCTGTGGACCACCACTATAGAGCATCTTCATTTGCCAGAGCACAAATAGCATTCTTTTTTTTTAAATCACTCCGTAATTTGTTAAAGAACAAATAATGGAAGTGTGGAAAAGAGCAGGGAATGGGATGAATACAAAAGGCACAAATTAGTTATGTTTCAATTTGCACTTAAAATATAAGTTCCATCGACGAACGTGTGAAACTTCCAATTCCAAACGCCGAGAGTGCGCCGGACACCCCACGTGTGGGCGTAGAAATGGTGCTCCCCTGCACTTGCTGCTCCTCAATGGCTATTTCACATTCTTTTTTTTTTCCAAGTTGGTTGTTTGGTTTACATTCTCTTGGATATGTGCCTCAAAAATACCTCAAGATTTATGCAAATATAAAAAAGGTTTTTTTATACAATTGGGCTGCAGCTGTGCAACAACCACAGCTACAACATTGAGCAAAATTGTAAAGCTTTAGTTGCGTAGCCAGCTATAGTCACAACTCAGCTAATACTGAAAGGGTCCAAACATAGAAGAGTTAGTGATGTGCACATAAATCTCAAGATACATTCAAAAAACGCTCATGCTATGTGAAGATCACGTATATGTGATATTCTCTTTCCACCTCACTTCCGTCTTTTACGATTTGAGTTGGTGACGTGCACATAAATCTCAAGATACATTCCAACGACGCTAGTGCTATGTGAAAGGCCACGTATATGTGATATTCTCTTTCCACCTCATTTCCGTCTTTTGCATATTGCAAACTCTATCAATAGCATCCTTGGAGCCTCGTATGCACATCTCTACTCTTATTTTTTTTAGAAGCCTCCCACATCTCTACTCTATAGCATAAGCTTTATCTATCCTTCAAGATGAGTTTGTTTTCGATCACAACCTTTTTAGCTTGCATGTACGTGTCACCTTATGTGTGTCGATCCATCTATCTAGCCAGCAAGATCTCTGCTTTTATGCCTTTGACATGTTATAAAGTGGTGACGATATATAGTAAGCAGTCCAAGAAACCATATATAAAAGTATGCACTTTGCATTTGTAGTTTTGTATGTGTAGTGGGCAGAAGAGACGGAATCACGGAAGCTGCGCCGGTGGTTTCAGGCTTTCAGCCTACCTGCATTGCCCCTGTACTGTAACACCAGAAAGTGCTTTGTGCTGGAGAGATTCTGGGTTGCAAAAGTTCAGAATAGAAATAAGAAATCTGATTTGGCGATTTATATTCTTGCGAGATTCTTTGGGCTGGATTGGAAGAGTATAGGCTGGCATTTTGGGCCGTCTTGGTTAGATTCATGGTAGTCTGATGCTGAAGCTTCATGTCATCTATTTGGGCCGAATGATACTGAGTTCTTTTGGTAGGCCTGGCAATTTTATTCAGAAAAAAAAAAGAGACATACTTTTTTTTTTTGGGGGGGGGGGGGGGACGTTCATTCTGGCTCCCAAGATCGGATCTAATTTGTATCCCTCGACCGTAAAGCTGGATAGAACGAATTCTTCAACTGTTAAAATAATAAACAGTACAAAATTACTCCTAGGACATTGAAGGTGGTCCTCGACATTCGTGTCATCTATTTGGGCTGAATAATACTGATGGAACCATCGTTTCACGGAACGGCATATTTGTAAACGAAAAATAATTTGTAAATAAAACTTTTATATGCGTGTTCTTAGCAATTTAAAAGCAATGGCGGAAAAATAAAGTTCGATAAAAAAAATCTCAAAATTAGCTCCAAATTTAATATTGAAAATTTAAATTTTGGCTGATAAGCATAAGCATAAGCGAAAAGATGAGGCCCTGAGTTCTTTTGGTTGGCCTGGCCCTTGCTATATTTTACAACTGCTGCAATTTTATTTAGAAAATAAAAAAAAGGCCTTATGCATTTCATGTTCATTTTATCAGCCTTGCCCATTTCAGCCCACCCTAAGGAGGAGGGAGAGAGGGAGAACAGATCAGTGCGTCAGATGATATCTGTCATCCTGAAAATCGAAGTTTTCCGGTGTGCGTGTGTGTTCATAATTCAAATGAACATGTTCAGGGTAGTATCGTACTTGGGATCTTCTTGAAATAAAACGGATGTCTATTCAATCGAAATTGAGAATAGAATAATCATCTTTATTAAGATTCCATGTTCAACATCTGAACGGGGATCTTCTCATCCTGAGCCATGTCTCAGTCGGCTGGCGTGCCTATGAGGGAGGCAAATTCGTTTCCTTTATTTTACTGATTTAATTGTATATCACCGCAAGGAAATTCACCGTAACTGTTAGAATCTTGCATCATTTATAAATCTACGGGCTGTTCAGCACAAGTGTTGTTTGCCAAACTTTGGAAGCTTATTAATATGCTGAAGCAAACGCCAGAATATTTTGCCAATCATTATGACAAGTTGTTTGCAGTGAGATTGTGAGGGTAAAAGTCTTCCGAACAAAACAAAATAAGGACCATGGATGATATGCCCGACACGTACAAGCAAAGCATGCGTCTAAAATTGGAGTACACATATATAGTCGAGGTCCTGACGTGCTTTGAATGGCGCGACTAGGAGGACCCTTGATTCTCGTTGCGTACGTCTTGAAAATATTGGAAGCTTCACAGCATCGCCAAGCAGTACACGACCTTTCCATGAAGCACCTGTACAGTCTTTGTTCTGCGTTCCAGGATACCTTGTGATACCAGTACCTCACGACAACAAATCATTTTCGATCGTTAGATCTAACAATACACGTTATGTTTAGATCTAACGATCCGCGAAACGATTTGGTACCATGAGATACCGTTACCTCGAGTTATTTTTGTTAGATCGGAGCAAATCTCATCGTTTACACATTAACTTATTAAAACGCTGCTAAAATTTAAAATGTAAATTTTAATTTTGAAGTTGGTTTTGATGTTTTTTAAGCCGTTACGGCTTATTACAAATCATGGGTAACCGATGGGGTCCTATGTAGTAGTGTCAAAACCCTTTTAAATATAGTTCATTTCTATGGAGTTGTGATAAACAGAAAAAGAAAAACCTGCTTGTCAGTATCACTTCTTGCATATCCTTGTTCCCAACTACACGCACCTATCTAGTACTAGATACCTCCACATAAAAAAGAAAAAAAGTAACTCTTTTCTAGTTTGAAAGAAATGCACACTTACTATACCATTTTCATAAGAGAAAAACATGCGAGAGCTAGCAAAATTAACAAGATGTAGTAAAATTCTCTGGTTAAACAAGCAACAAACTAATTAATGTTGCGTTGTTCGACAGAAATTTAGGAGTAAACTCTACTTCAAATAACATTTTATTATCGATGTTTCGTTTATCACCTTTTA